TGGATCTAGTTCTCAAGCAAAAGGAATGGCCTTAGAGGGAGCTTGGCAAGTTCATCCCCAGGGACAGGAGAGAATGTAGAATGTGTGAGCATAGACGTAGGAGGATGGGGTGGTGTGGAGGGTCCAGTTTTACTGAGCAGTATAGAGAGCAAGAGTGATGGCTGAGAATGGCGGGGGGGAGGTATTGGGGGATGGAGGGGAGGGATGCAAGTATGCAATAGTCGTCTCAGAAAGCGGGAAAGCGAATGCATGAGGGTAGTGTCATTTGATTGCTCGGCAGCAGTAAGAACCCACTTGAGGTTAATGATCATGAATTTGAAATGATACCAGTCAACACGACTGTTTGTTTTCCCATCTTTATTTTCAGCTGCAATGCTGCAGAAATGGAGTGGAAGGAAAATTTAATTTAACCAAGGTTATCATTTTGCTCAGAACAGATGAGAAAGCACAAGAGGGGAAGAGAAGTGGAGGTTCTATGCAAGGAATTAATTACAGTCATTGATACTTGGATTTAAGCTGAGAGAAGAGAAGACACAGTGGAGGTAAGGAACTGAGAAAAAGATGGTTAGATCAAATGGCTCTTTCTTTGTTCCAGTGTATCAAAACTTCCCAGGATGTGCATTGGTGGGGCTCTTCATTCACTGTGCTTCATGACCTTTTGGCTCTTTAATTTATGTGCTTCCATTCTGGGAAATGTTTTGAATTATTTCTTTGTTGCTTACCTCTCCCTCCACTTTCTCCATTCTCCTCTTTGAAATGCTGTAATTGATATATTGAACATCCTAATACAGTGTTTTTTTTTTCTTTCTGGCTCCCATTCTTATTTTATGAATGCAATATTAGCTGTGATGTTTTGGAAATTTTTGTTTGTTCCTTTCACTGTCTCTGTTTTTTTAAGTTCTTTTCCAATATAATGAGACACAATGCACCCATCTTCCAGCTTCAACTGTTATCAATATTTTTCCAATTTTGTTTCATCTGTTCTATCAGCTTTTACATGCAATGTCTTTTAATATATCATTTTAGATTTCAATTTCAACCACAATATTTTGACCTACATGTTCTCTAACTTTTGAGGGTTAATTTGGCACTTCCTCTCCATTGACCTCTTACTCTCTCCTGCTTTTGCAGCTTGAATTGCATGTTTTATTATTTTAGCTTTGGAGATCAGGCACCTCTAGGATTGTGTGGCCTAACACACTGATATTGGCTATGCTTCATTATTTTAATAACACTCACATCAATATCTTAAATTCTCTGGCCCTTTATCTTCTCTTCTCATCTACCTGGTAAAATGCCAGCTCTGAATGAACTCAGAAACCCCCTGTCCTTTGCTTACATCCATGCAGCCCAAGGATGCTGGAGAACCCCAAAAGAGGAAAGATCGGTTCCTCCCTAAATTTATAATCACTGGTTTCAAGCAGGCCTTCAACCCTGTTTAAAAGTCTCACTGCATTTTCCTGGTCAGTGTCCTCTCTGTCATTCTCAACAACCACTTTAAATGAATTTCACAAATTTTTCAAACTTCCAAGCTTACTTGCTACCTCTTCCTTCATAACCAACACAAAATTTAGCCTGTTAGTCTTGGAAAATAGAAGCCACAGGACATAAATGGATTTTGTCAGCTTCCCAAACTCAAACTTGTTACTCTCTCTGGCCTCCTAGGCTACCTTCTCTCCACCTCACTACACAAGAGGTGTTCTTTTCCTTTTCTGAGACCAGTTCCTTTACCTTTGCTTGGAACCCACCCTCTCTTATTTTTCAGAACTCTTACCTAATCTAGTATGTTTGCTCTTGCACACCTATAATCTCTTTCAATGGGATCCTTCCCATATGTTTTTAAATATACTCAAGATTCTCCAATTATAAAATAAACAAAAAACTCTGCTCCTTTAGTAAAACTACATCTATTCTCTGTCTCTTTCCTCTCGTTAAAGCCTACTGAAATTTCGGCTTGTTCTAATCTTATATCTTTAACCCTTGACCAAAACAACTCCTGATCAATTCACCCATGACTCGCACCTTGCTAAATTCTTTTCAGTCCTCACCTCACTTCGTTGCTCAACAATACGCTCTCTGCCTTCCTTTCTGAAATTCTCTTTCTCCTCTTGACTTTTGTGACACAGCATAGTTCTGTTTAATTTTCTACTTCTCTTACTAATCCTTCTCTTCTCCTTTAAAAGATCTTCTTTATAAAACTCAATGCCAAGTTCTCTTTTCTTTGCTCTATAACCTCTCATTAGGTGCTTTCATTTTTACCACCTCTTCCCAGATAAGCCTAAACATGATATATATCTCTTCTGAGCTCTAAAATGATGTGTAAAGTATTTACCATCTTTATTTATATACACCTATACAAATAAAGGCACCTAAAAAGTGGGCACCTAAAAATTAACTTATCTCAAACTAAGCCTGTAGTTCATAAAAATCATCATATTCCAAACTGAACTACCCTGTGATGTGTTTCCTACATCAGTAATGACCTGAACATCCATCATGCTGTGGAAGCTAACGACTACAGTGTTATCTTTTCTATCTCCTTCTCCTTCTTTTCTTTTTTTAAGATTTTTTTATTTTTTAGAGAGAAGAGAGGGAGGGAGAAAGAGAAAGAGAGAAACATCAATGTTTGGTTGCCTCTCATGTGCCCCAAACTGATGACCTGGCCCACAACCCAGTCATGTGTCCTGACTGGGAATCGAACTGTTAACCCTTTGTTTTGTAGACTGACACTCAATCCACTGAGCCACACCAGCCAGGTTCCCTCTCCTCTTTTTCTATTAACCATATCAAATTTATCACTTACACCTTTTAACTAGTACCCTTTCCACTTTGAACCTTTACAATCTATTCTTCATATTGCAGACAGAGTGATTTTTGCATTAAGCAAATTTTATCATGTCTCCCAGGACTCTCCATCCAAGCACACTACAACCATTCAGTGATTCTCCTTGCTTTTAGAGAAAAAAACAACAGTGAAATCTCACAATGACTTAAAAAAGATGACCTGAAAGGCCACTGGCTTGGCCCTGCTTATATTCCTGGCTTCACACTGCACACTTACCATTTAGTTCCTTGAAAGTACCCTGCTTCCTCTTGTTCTCGGCTCTGGGCCCAAGGTGTTCCCTCTCTCTGGGAAGTCCTACTATGCCTCCCATTTTTTACATGTTAACTCCTCTGTGTCACTCAGATCTTACCTTTGTTTCTACCTCCTCAAGAAAGCTTTCTCTGACTCTTTGAACAAATCAACCCATGTATGTACATTCCAGGCAACAATTTTGTATTTAAAACTGGGAAGTCTTTTTTCCTTTGATCCATTCTAGAATGGTAATCAGGGATCTTGGACATGGGTCTTTCAGATGCTCCAGTGTGGATATCTAGTAGAAATAATTTCTGTCTCTAATATTGAATCACTCGCACGGTGTGACGTCAGCTCCCCTTCTGACCAGGCATGGGGATGGGGAAGGACATAGGGCTGCACAGGGGCTCCGAGGCCTTGTCCAGCCACACACCTGTATGTACGCAGATATATTATTTTTCATGTACATGTGTATATATGAAGAAGTAACTGACATCATATTATATATACATATCTATATCATTTTAAATCAAGTATTATAGTCTGTGTTATTAAGCACTAAATCAAAAGTATTTTAAGGGTTGCTTAATATTTCTTCGTGTGGTTTGAACATAGTTTATATACCATTTCCCTATTGTTATTTAATTTTTTTGTCTGTTTATATACTATCTGACCTCCATTCCATATTTGGGGAATTCCATCCTATTTTAATCTTGATTGGAAGGAAAGCTCTGATGAGGTGGTTATGCATAATTCAACTAATTTGGATCAAGTTTAAGCCATTAATTAGGTTCTTCAAGTTATCTGATTTGTCCTCTGGGTCCCTTGGACCCTTTTTTTGTGGTAAAATATAACAATTTTTAAAAATCCTCATCCAAGGAAAGGTTTTTGATTGATTTTAGAGAGAGAAGAAGGGTGAAAGAGAGAGAAACATCGATTGGCTGCCTCCTACTGTATGTATTCCTACCAGGGAATCAAACCCACAACCTAGCGATGTGTGTTGACAGGGAATCAAATCAGCAACCCTTTGGTGCAAGGAACAATACTCCAAACAACTGAGCCATGCAGTCTGGGCAAATATAACCATTTTCAAGTATCCAGTGCAGTGGCATTAAGTACATTCTCACTATTGTGCAAGCATCAACAAGCATCAACAACCATCTGTCTCCAGAACTTCATTTTTCTAAACTAAGACTCTAAACCCATTAAATAATAACTTCCTATTCCCCTTTTCAGCTTCTGGCAACCACTATGTATTTTTTGTCTGTGTGAATCTGACTACTTTAGGTAACTCATGTCAGTGTAATAATTCATGCAGATTTGTTCTGTTATGACTAGGTTATTTCATTTAGCATATAACCTCAAGGTTCATTTCTGTTTAAGCATGTGTCAGAACTCCCTTCCTTTTTAAGGCTGTATAATATTCCTTTGCATGTGTACACTACTTTTTGTTCATCCATCATTGAACTCTTGAGTTACTCCCACATTTTTTGACTATTGTGAATAATGCTGCCATGAATGTCAGCATACAAATGTCTGTTGGAGTCCCTGCTTTCGATTCTTTAGGTATATACCCACAAGTGGAACTGTTGGATCACACCATAATTCTTTTTTTAATTTTTTGAGGAATTGCCATATGGTTTTCCATAGGAGCGGCACTGTTTTATCTTCCCACCAGAGTGCTCAGGGTTTCCAATTTCCCCACATCTTTGTCAATGCTTACTCTCTTTTTCTGGCTGTTTGCTTTTCTATGTTCTACCAGTCATCCTAATGGGTGTGACGTGGTAAATCACTGCGGTTTTGATTTGCACTTCCCTAGAAAATAACGTACTCGCCATCTTTTCATGTGCTTTGTGACTATTCGTATACCTTCTTTGGAGAAATACCTATTCAAGTCCTTTTCCCATTTTTTAATCCCAGGTTTGTTGTTGTTGTTGTTATCCCTTTGACTTTTGAGATTGTGTTTTTTCTTGTTAACTCATCTTTTAATGATTCTGGAAGCATTAGAAAAGAACTGGAAAAAAAAATAAAGTTAGTAAAAAGTAGTATTCCATTTTAATAGATATGATCATTACACTGATTCTGCATAAGCAAGGAAATTTCAAAGCTTCAACAGATGGTGTACAGCAATTGTACTTTACTGATAGAGTTACAACAAATTCCATCAAATTAAAAATTTCAGTTAGCAGATGCCTTTCAACATTTGTTGTCTTCTCTGAAGCTAATCTCTGTAGCAAAGACATTTTTGTGTTGGGAACCGCCCTGACTGGTATCAGAGGCTGAAACCCCCGCCTAGCTAAGGCTAAGGGAACGCCCTTGGAATTGTAAGCCAGCAAGGAGACAAAAGCTTATCTCCCTGGCAGGAATGCTGCTTCTGCTGCTTTATTCATAACTGAACCCCCAAAAGCTTGGTCGGTTAGCCAAAGACGGGTAAGATTCCCCACGGGGGGAAGGACCTAAGCCAGGCACGATCACTTTGGGAGGCGCCCCCAAAGAAGGACTTGGGGGGCTGCAGCAAAAGGGGGTGATGGACCCTCGCTCCTCGGCTTTGACATAGCCTGAGTTCTCAGCGTCTGGGAGAAAATCTCCTTATCTCTTGGTTACCTAGTTCCCTTGCTCCACCTAAGCCTAAAACAATGACAGGGTGGTACAGCTCGGTACTGAGAAGTGCGGATTCCCCGGGGTGATCAGGCCTAAGAAAGAACATGTAAATTACTGTGAAACCTTCTTTGTTTAGAATGCTCTCAGTTGAATGAGAAGGGTCTTAGGAGGAAGTTAGTTTGTTCCTCAGTCTTACAGCTCTTTGACCCCCAACTCAATAGACCAGCAGAGTTCTTTGTTTTCTATAGTTCCTTATTTCCCCCTAATGAGTACTGTACTTTATCTGAATTATTATGCAAAATGAGCTCAATAAAAGCAGGTATGGACGGTAAATCAGCGCGCTCCCCAGTAGGGGGGGTGGCCATTTTGTCCCTACTTCCCCACAGAAACTAGTCTGTCTCTGTGCATGTGTGTTTTTTCTCGCGTGTTTATCGTCGAGCCATCCACAGCGTTCCGTGGTCACTGCTGGCCGGTGACCCACGCGCAACATTTTTGTTTTGGTTTGGTTTTTGGTATTTGTCACTTGTAGTGTTTTGGATCATCGAAATTTTAGATTTTCTATGAAATATTATACTGGTTTTTTTGGTGGTAGTTTATTTCATGAGAGTTGAGGGGTAAAAGAATGGAGGAATAAAATACTTTTATCTCCAGCAAAAAGGCACAATGGAGGGTGGGTCATTAATAAACTAAAGAAGATTTAGAAATGAGATATGAGTGTATTAATTTCTCCATGAACATGAACGATACACCCTGAAGCTATTTTGCTGTAGCATGCAATATATGTTCATTTAAAATGGAAATTAAGTACTATAAGTTATTTTTATCTCACCAAGCTCACTAAAATAAAATTCTTATAATTCAAATTTTCTAAAACTCAGTAATTACTTATTAAGACTGGTAAGGAAGACAAACAAATACGACTGCTTGGGCAATTCAATTTTCTGTGTCAAAATATTACTTAACATGAAGTTAAGATAATGCATCAAAGTAGCCTCTGCATTCTGTAGCCTCACCAAGTGCTTTAGAAAGAAAGCATTTGAGAACACTAATGAGGAAAGACAACATGGGATTGCAAACAATGCAAAGAGATACAAATAAAACCCGCCAGTCTACATTGCCTGTAGACCATTTATTATCAGAAAAGTCATCGTCATTTCAAGCTCATTGTATTTCTAAAGGAAATTCGTTTTCTCCACCCTGTTGGATGTTTCTAATACCCATCCCTTATCTTCATTACTCTTGTCCCCTCTCAACAACCACACAGGCAGTGCATTCTTCATAGTCTAATTAACCACAAGAATTTGGTAAAACTAAACTTAACTTTCAGTCATACTTGCATCTTGTATCCTTCCTATGTAAAACATTTTTAAGATTTTATTTATTTTTAGAAAGAAGGGAAGGGAAGGAGAAAGAGAGGAAGAGAAACATATATGCCAGGGAAAAACATGGATCGGTTGCCTCTTGTACCCACCCAGATGGGGGACTGAACCCACACCCCAGGCCTGTACCCTGACGGGGAGCCAAACCGGCCACACCTGGCTCTGTGGGATGATGCTCAACCAACTGAGCCACACCCGTCAGGGCTGTAAAACGTTTTTAATGGCTCGTTCTTTGATCTCACATCAAGACTTTCAGACTGTCTCTTCTTAAGTTCTCATAATTTGTCCTTTCCTTGCATATCCAACAAGATTGATTCTTCCCACATGTCTGCTCTGTAGGGCCCTCTCCTTACTGCCCTGCCTTCGCTGCCTCCTGCCTCTGGCCTCTCTAAATCCTGATTATCAGAGCTCTGGCCCATTTCTTGCTCTCAAGTGTTCTGTCCCTCAGAGTTTGAACTTTTCAGTTTCCCCCCTAATTATACACTCTTTCTGTGATTTTATGCCTGTGAGTTGCCTCTTCAATTACATTATAAGCTCCTTGGAGGAAGTTTAAGTGTTTCACGGGAAACCCAGTCAGTTCAGATGTGGTTCTACCTACTTCTTACCATTCCCTCTGCTAAGGACCTGCTCCAACCTTCTGTAATCCCCCAGCAGAACTGCCACAATAGTCCAGGGACTGGTCTCCTGTTGATTCTTCCCATTTTACAGTGATCTATGGAAAATGCAGATATAATCTTGACACTCCCCTGCTTCAAACCCTTCAAATAGTCTCCCACTGTTCTCAGGCCCACAATAGCTAGCGTGTTTTTCCAGGATCTCTTGGAATGCCCTCAACACACACAGACATTCTCTGTTATGTGGTTATGTGACAGAGATAGGTGTGTTAAATCTATTAATAATTGCTGGAGCCACAATGTGCTGGTAAATGTTTAACAACCAAATCTTCAGAAACAAACAAACAAACTTGATTTGTAATGTTTGCCAATTTCTGCACTATAACTCTTCCTACCATGGTCAATGTCACACTATCAGGTGACCGAAGGCAGATTTTGAAAACAATGCTACCAATGAGCTCTTGTAAGTCAGTACAAACAGGGTGCAGCAGACGGTAACAGGAAAACTGTATAAACAGTACAAATCTGCTGAGGCACTAAATGATTTGACTTTCTATAGATACCTTACATAGATTAGGTTTCTTCAATTTGGAAAAATCACAACGGAAACAGGTAAAATGCATGTCATCATTCAACTATGGATAAGATGTACATATGACAGGGTTCTCCAGAGAACCAATAGGAACACACACACACACACACACACACACACACACACACACACACACATATTTGAGAACCAGAGAAGTCAATGATAAACCCAATCTGTGGGAAGGAGAAGATAAGATGAGATGTTCTAATTCAACAATAAAGAAGAAAAAAGGGGGTACATTCCTCTTTCCTTTGCCTTTTCTTCTGTTTAGACTCTCAGTGGATTGAAAGATGCCCACCCACACCAGGAAGGGCAAACTAGTCCACTGAGTCCACCCATGCGAATGCCCATCTCACCTGGAAACACCGCACAGACACACCCAGACGCAATGTTGGATCTGGGCACTCTGTGGCCAATCAGGTTGACACATAAATTAACCATCACACATTCTTTCCTAGACTAATCAGATTAAAAGTTGCCATTTGCAGGAGTTAGTTTAAAGCAAATAAAAGGAAGTACTGTAGATCAGAGTGGGCAAACTTTTTCTATAAAGAATCAAATAGAGAAGACTTTAGGCCTTGCACACTATAAAGTCTCTGTCATAACAACTCTCATCTGTCATTGTAATATGCAAGCAGCCATTAACAATGCATACAAAAATGGAAGGGGCTGTGTTTCAATAAAACTTTATTTATAAAATCATATGGCGGGACAGATTAGTTGGTGACCTCTGATCCAGATTAAGTAGAGGTGTACAGATAAAGAGACAGTAATTATTCTCATCGCAGTGAAAACAAACTTGCAGTTTGTTTTCATCTCACACCCTAGATGTGTAGTAAGCCAATCCTCCAGGCACTGATGGATTCAGGAATTGATGATGACTGAACTCTGATCAGTGAAATAGGAGGAAACATGCAGAGAGGCATCTGGGGAAAGTCTTCCCATTCATAATGGGCAGCTGCTATTCTGACCCTTCTGGACCGTGTCTGGACTAGCTGTGACACCCCAAATCATTACAGCCACCAACAGTGAGGAAGGCAAAGTGGGGAGAGATGGAAAAGAGTCAATGCAACCCAACCTGGAGCCTGCCCTACCTCTGGATTTCCTGTGATGAAAGAATAAGTTTCCTCTTCTGGAAGCCTGTTACAGAAAAGGTGTCTAAAGTTGAGTTGAAAGTATCCTAATTGATTCAATTATTTTTCCCCCAAAAATTTCTGTTAGTTACAAATGTAATACTGAACCAATGGCTCCTCCCTCTAGGGAATTTCTTCCCTCTTTAAAGAGACATAATCCCAGTATTTTACTTTTCCCTGAAAAAAGATCGAGGCTGCCATACCAAATCAGAGAAGAAAGAATACTATTGACCAGTTATTCTTTAACATTTATTTTCCTACCACAAGCCAAATATCCTGAAAGTATCAGCCCAGCTTTGAGAGCTGATTCATTTTAGGCTCTTCCTCTGACAACAGAGCAGACACTGTTGACCACTGAGCGCCTGCTATTGCATCCATTCATCTTCCTGTGATCAAAACCTTGATTTTGTTCAGCCATCTGGAGACTGCCTACTCTAGAAAAGATTATCCCCAGCCCTAGGGGGGATCATCTTGATTAATTGAAGCTAATCATGGAAATTCCACTTTCCTTGCCAGTAAATGATTTAGGAATGGGCCCATCTATAACTCTGCACAGTGAGTGTGGGTGGTGTTTTTCTCAGTCTTAAAAAGGGACATAAGGGACTCTTTAGTGTTGCAAAGTACTTGAGGCTGCTGCAGCCATCCTGCAAGCCTGAGGTCAAAAGCCTTGGCTTTGCTTTGAGCAAAACACAGCAGAAGAATGAAGAGAGCTTGTGTCTTAAGTGATGGCAATAAGCCACGTAGTAGCCGGGTCTGGAATTGCCCCACCTCAGGCTTTTTATGTTACTGGTGCTGACTGAATTTATCTTCTGTTAAATGCAGCTGAAGCCACAGCTACTGGAAGGTTCACTAATAAGTTGCCTTTGGCAGGTTGGATCTGGGTTCCTCCACTTGTCTAAGCAGGTTAAGAAGAAACAGCATGATGTTTCTATTGCATTGATCCAAGAGATAGTATATATATGTGCATGCACACATATGTATACACATACACTATAGATTGGTAAATATTATTATGGAATCTCTAAATACTGTATTGCTGCAGACATATTTAAAAATATTAGACAATGCCCTGACTGGTGTGACTTACTGGGTTGGGCATGGTCCCACAAAATGAAAGGTTTCTGGTTTGATTTCCAGTCAGGACACATGCCTGGATTGTGGGCCAGGTCCCCACTAGGGGGCGCGTGAGAGGCAACTACACATTGATGTTTCTCTCCCTCTCTTTCTCCCTTCCCCGCTCTAAAAATAAATGACTAAACTCTTTTAAAAAACAGAACGTTCCTGTTTAAAATAAGATTTTATTTATTTTTAAAAAGAGGGGAAGGAAGGGAGAGAGTGAGGGAAATAAACATTGATGTGCAAGAGAAACATCTATCAGTTACCTCTCGCATGCCAAATGGAGGCATGGCCTGCAGCCCAGGAATGCTCCCTGACCCGGAATCAATCTGCGATCTTTCGCTTTGTGGGAGGACGCCCACTCCACTGAGCCACACTGGTCTGTCAGGGCTATTTGTCTTTCTTCTTTAGTGAGACATTCTGTAGAATGGAACAAATACAGCCATATATTTTTAAGTTAAATAGAATAATTCATTTTTGCCAATAACATATAAATGTACAACCTCTCTTGCCCTATACTTTTAGTTTTAAGGAAAACCTTTTTTAGGAAAGGTCAGCCTAATAATGAGAGGGAAGACTAAGCAATCATCTTCCTAATGAAATCAATATGCACCTTTAAGGACAAATAATATCTATGCTAATTTTTTCTTTGATGTTTGTTGTTGATGCAACATGGGAGAGAAAAAGGAACTCACATTGACTTTTCATTCTTTACCTTGTCCCCATCCCTTCAAGCATCATATTCTTTAGTCCACTGTGTTTGAAAAAAGTCAAAACAGAATTTTATACAGGGAAGAAAAGAAGGAAGTAAAAAGGCTTTTTCTAATATTCCAGTAATGAATATGCCACTCACCTCAAAGTCTGCCAGCTGAAAATAGCGCAAAATTGCCTAATTTTGAGGAAATTTATGAGCTAGTTACCTTTCTTCTTTTTTCCAAGTTCTTTGTCCATTCAAAACCCTAGAGGAAAAAATATCCCATAATAATGCATAGGAAACATTAATATAACACAGTTTTAAAGAACTTTCATAAATATTATCTCTTTTTGCCTCTACTGATAACCCTGTAAAGAACAGAAAACAGATTTAAAACTTAAGTTTTAGGTAAGATGGCAACTAGCCATTTGATGTCCCCGCCCCCCCCCCGCCCTTCTGACTCAGTCACTACGCCAACACTGGTGGCCTTGTGGGGATGACCGATTGATGGACATCAGCCATGCTCCGGAGTCAACATCAGAATGTGAAAAACTCCTACAGTGCTAGAAGGGTGTTGGGTCTCAGGCAGGGGAATAGCATCAGGGAATAGGACGTGAAGCAGGAGAGGGCCAGGGATCACAGAAGAGGGACAGACTGGAAGACAGCTTTCTCATGGGGTCGTTTCTTTCCCCGACAACTTCAGGGAAAGAAACCAGCAGTGCTAGCCAGAGGCAGAGGTGTAAGAGCAGGGCAGGACTTGGGCAGGAGAAATCCACTGCTCGGGCTGGCCAGAATAAAGAATTTATTAAAGTTATTAAAGTCTAATATAAATGTCTCATTGCTGTGTTGTACACTTAAAACTAATATAATATTGTGTCAACTCTAATTTAAAAAATCAATTAAAAATTGTAAAATCTAAACGAGTAATGACCCAACAACAACATGCTATCAATATCAATATGGAGATGTTGCCATGGAAAATAAGACACTTTTGCTAAAATTATTAACTAATTGGGGATGGGTCAGCAAAATTTAGAAATTAGTAACATTTAAACTTAGATTGAGAAATAGAAATAAACATAATTATTGGTCTTACAAGTTACAGCTAACCACCAAACCAAAAAATATAGAGGGAGAATTTAAAGCTCTAACACAAATTTAAACTATGCAATGAAAGTTAGAAGAATAAAAAAGGAATACAACAAAGTATGGTAAAAAGAAATCAATAATTAAATATACATAAATAAGTCTCAATATTACAGTAGTTACAATAAATATAAAGGGGTTCAACTAATTAAAAGCAGAGATTCTCAGATTGATAGCAAAACAAATTTCAGCAATATGCAATTTACAAAAAACATACTAAAAATAATTATATAAAGAAAAGCTAAAAATAAGGAAGTAAAAGAATGTAACAGGAAAATATGAAACAAAAATGATCTGAGGCATCAAAGTAGGCAAACAAAAAAGAATGACAGAGTTGTTATATTCTGGTTAAAGGAAAAAGAGGTCAAGAAAGTATAATGAATGCACATGCCTTCTAAAAATTGAGGTGAAATTCATATACATACTTAAAAAGTTTTTGAGCATTCAGAAAATGTAATCCAATACCATCCCAAAAAGAGGGATCAATTAATATGAAAAAATCAAAATCACAGGGAATATGTCTTTTCATTCAGTGAAGTCAATTTGCAAGTCAATAGAAAAAGAAGCACTTAAAATTTTCATATTTCTCATAAGTAGAAAATCTCTGGTGTAAACCATAATTTTAAGAGTAAATCATATGTCAGGTCATATAAAATTTAGGACTCACTGATAAAAATTATTATATGTCAAAATGTATGCTAAACATTTAAAATAACACTTAGAGGAAAATTACAGAATTGACTTCATTTCCCTAAAAAAATAATACTGAAACAAATGAGTTAATTATTTAATTGAAGAAGATAAAAAAGTCATACAATAAAGCAAAAAACAGAAAATATATAGGTTGAGGACAAACAATGAAATAGAGAATTAAAAGAAAAACAACTGGAATAATTAATAGAACCAAAATCTTGTTTTTTAAAAAAAAATGACTAATGAATAGTGATTAGTCATTTGTGTCAAAAAAAGGAAAAGCAAAATGTAATAGAGAAAATGCAAATAAACAAAACAAAATTCTCTGAATTTCAAATGTTAAGTTAATGATAAAAGTTAAGTCTAAAGACTTCATAGCATGGTTATGTGCTTTGTGAGGAAAACAAGTTTCATATGTTAGGGCCTCTTTCTATCTCACTGTTATGGTCTGAATACTTGTGTTCCCCTCCGATTCCTACGTGGAAATCCTAATCTTCAGAGACGATGGCCTGTGCAGGTGGGGCCTTTGGGGCATGCTTAAGTCATGACGGCAGAGCCCTCATAAGGGGCTAAGTGCCTTACAAAAGAGGCCCCCAAGAGATTCCTTGCACTTTCCACCACGTGAAGACACAAAAGAACGCACCGGATGAACCAGAAAGGGGGCCCTCACAAGAAACTGTCCGTGTTGGCTCCTTGATCTCGGGATCTTCAACTTCTAGAGCTGTGAGGTATAAATTTCTGTTATTTATGACTACCTGTTCTGTGGTGTTTTGTCATAGCAATCCCTTACGAGATATTTTAAATTGTCTTTAAAAACCATGAAAAAAAAATCATTCTCTAAAATCAGAAACATTCCCAAGAGTAACAGATTTTGTTTAGGAAAAATCCTTGAATTACTAAGGCAAGAGGACTATGATGGACAAAGGCGTACTCTTCGTGGGAGTAAGCAGTTACTGCAGGCACCCAGTGCCTGGGGGCTGAGGATGCTACACAACTTGCAGTACGTTTGGCAGTACCACAATACAAGAGTTGCTTGCCCAATATGCCAGTAGGTCAAAGACAAACTAGTGACTTGTCAGGGAGTCCCTCTGTTTGGTTTCTAGTCCAGTCTTCTTTTTTTTTTTCATTGCATCACCTTTGTCATGAAGGAATATAATGTTACGGAAAATAAATTATACTAATAGAATCTCGAGAGAAACAAACATTTGTATAGGTTGCTGAGAGAAGAGTATTCAAAATTTACCAATCAGTACCATAAAGTGGAAGAAAAACATAATCATTTGCATGTTTGCCCTTGTGTCAGGTGATGTGCAAGTAGCAGCCCTAGGCATGATAATTATTTTTCAATGGTAATAACTTTTAAGAACATTCTGTTGTTGGTCATTAAATCTCACTGCTCCCCCACCACTTTTCTGGCTTTTGTGGTGCAGAATCAGAGCAAAGGGCAGACAGAGGTAGAACTGGGAATGGGTATGTAGTAAAAATGCTGTTTTACTTACGAGAGAGGAAAGACTAGAAATAGGAGGAAAGGAGAGTATAAGGAAGAAAACAAGCTCCAGTTTCCAGGGAAAATACGTTTTGGAAGTGGGAGCAATGCTTTGAGAGAGCCGTGAGATGGGAAAAACAGCAAAGGGAAAGGATTGTGAGGGGTTGTGTGGATTTGGAGTATTCTGTGGGAGATGAGTACAAAGACTGGAATCCTTTTTGCTTACTCTTAGATGTTGGATCGTGTTCACCTGAATATGGCATGGTGGCTGAGAGTGGGTTACAGGGCCCCTGATATAAATTTGGTTAACAGTGTTAACTTATTTAATGCTTATTAAAATTCTAAGTGGTTAATTATCACTCTCATTTTATAAGTGAGGAAATTAAGAGTCAGAGATGCAGTGCTTTCCACAAATCGCTGATTATAAATGGTGGAACAAATTTCTAACACAGGTCTATCTGATGTTATATGCTTGTACATTGCACTAACTGCCTATTTTATGAAAGATAATATTAAAGTACTTTGTGTTTGATTAGGAAGGTAAGTGTCACAGAAGTAGGTTCTATTTGTAGCTGAGCTGGTAGAGCTTATGATGATAAGACACCCCCTCCAAGAATTACACTGAAATGTTCATTTTCACCTAATGCCTTGCTTCTGTTCTGACATATTCCATCCTAGAATTGGTTCAACACTTGAGCTGTGGAATCAAATAAACCTCAAGTCAAGACCTGGCTCTCACTTGTTAGCTCTGTGTCCTCGATTTCTTCCTATGTAAATGGATAATTATCCCCGTCCATACTCACAGAGTTTTTGTGGGGATTAAGTGAAGGTGCAAAGAAGAGTATCCAGAATAGAGAAAGTGCTGAATGGATGGTTCCTCCTCCCTATTCCACATTGTTATTGTCTCCCTACAATGAAGTGTTCCCAAGCAGAAGGCCGTCCAAGTGTAAACAGCTCCAAATCCAGGTCACTCCTCACTTCCTAGTCATCCTCATCCATTGTCTGTACCCCTCCTGGGGGGACTGGGTGACAAAAAAAAAAAAGTGGGCTGCAGGTAAATCTCATAGAAAGCTTGGAGGGAAGCGGAAATCTACAAAAAGGGGAAGCAAGTGATGCAGAAACCAAATCACCATCACAATTTATCCTAGAGATACCAAGACACCTTCATCTCACTTCGAAGAGCAGTCAGGAGAAAATGAAATTTAATAAGTTGAATCAAATTTTTAAGGCAGAAAGGAAACTCACCTTTTAAGGTAGTCCGTGATGGATCTGTTTTTAAAATAAAGACTCGTGCAATCTCTCAAATTTACATTTCATACACTTGAGGGTTTTGTACATTGATTTTTCTCAAAACAGGAGTACTTGAGCCTTGTTTTCTACTTATGAAGGGGACCCCCGAAACAGAAATTTATTTATAAAAATTGTGTATTTATTCTTACGTGTTTAAACTTTAGTCACCTTCAAAGTACTCTCCATTTGATGGAATACATCTATCGAGACTTTTCCACCGCTCATAACTGTTTTTGGACTCATTGATTTTGATGCCTTTTAGTGCTTCTGCTGTTTTTTGTTTCACCTCTTCCACATCGGCAAAATGTTTCCCTTTGAGGACTTTTCTCATCTGGGGAAACAAAAAGAAGTCACTGGGGGTGAGATCAGGTGAACAGGTAGGGTGGGACATGGGGTCATGTTGTTTTCTGGTCAGCAGCTGCTGCACACTCAGTGCGGTGTGGACAGATGTGCTCATAAATCACCATCACGAAATGAGCAAATGTGTTGAGTCTTCAAAAAAAATTCACTGAATCCCAGTGCAGCTTCTCACAAAAATTGCAGCTGGTGCACTGATACAGATGGGTTCCTAGAACACTCACCTAGCAGGGGAAGCCTATACTACAAGGGGCCTGCCCTTCCAAAAATAATTTGGTTTTCTGGGGGGGATTCCCCTCTCGTATGTATCTATTTTAATTAGTCATTTCCAGTTTTAACATAGATATGACTTTGTAGGGGATTTTAAGTATAAATAGGAACTGGAAATGGAACTCAGCATTAAGGCGATTAAAATGAGGTAATATACCAGAGCTATTCTTAATTTTAACTTTTCCTTTGAAAAACGTAGTTTATTGAGTGCTTAGACCTTTCCAGGGAGTGTCTCATATACAGTAAGCATTTCTTTACACCCCCCTGCAAAGTGGGTGCTATTGTCTGAGACACAGACAGGCTACAACATAACTCCTGAAGTTATCCCTGCCTCCTATACCCCCGCCTCTGTGGTGGAGCCCCTGAGAGCTCACTGAGGACACATATTTGATACATGCCCTGATCATCTTCTATCTGAAGCCCTGGTTACTTATGGTGCAGATGTAAACTGCTCCCCTTCACTTGTGCTTTATCAGAATAGAGAATTTGAAGTCATTTATTCTCTCCCACTTTGGGCTTTGAGGAAAATAGGGGAACCTCGCCACCTGGTGGCATCCCAAGGTAAGTAACAATACGGAGGCCACCTTCTGGTCTCAGGAAGAGATTAAGTGTCACCTTCCACTTTGCTATTCAAGTTTGCCAAGGCACCTCTCAAACAGCTGAGCTGGCCTTTCCTCAGGGATCATTGTCTTCAAAAATCCCTTACTCTGCCCAGATTTATCCTAATGAAACTGAACTAGCAGTTTTCTTCTCCATTCTTTAAGAGAGAAGGTTTCATGGGACAGAGTCCAACAATGATGAGACAGAAATCCCTAGATCTAATTTAATTTTCAAAAAGGTCAGATATTCAGGACTCATGCCCTTTTGTAAGGAAGTAACAGTTGGCCAGAGAGTTGTCATCTTAAAATACATACTTCATAGCTGCCTCCTGTAGCTTCATCTCTAAAGCAGAGAAAGGAACACATAAGGATCCCTTGTTTTAAACAAATCATGAAATTAAAAGATTGCCTGTGAATTATATTTTTGAATTTCTAACCATACTGATGACCTGGTACATTGTTTTCTCAAGGACTTCATTGATAAATCACAGTTTTTGAAGTTTAGTTTTCTCAATTCTAGATAAGCTCTATTTGTGATTTTCAGTTGCCTATTGGTGGGTGTGTGCCCAGCTAGCTGTGTCAGAGTCACCTGAGGAAATCACAGCACAAACACAGAGAGACTCCTCGGCCCCTCCAAAGACTCAGGCTCACTCGGTCTGTGGTGAACCCAGGCAGCGGCGTTTCTAAATGCTCCCCCGGAGCTACACCATAGGCAGTGAGCTTAGGGAACAACTGCGCCTCCACCACCTTTGCTGACCATAATAGAGGATGCTGGTGGTTAATGCACAAATTAGATACTGTTTTCACTTATCAGGTGGGAAACAAGAAGAAAAACAGTAAATATCTGCTTCTAGTGACGATATAGGGAACAAGGTATTCTCATTCCTTGCTGTTTAGAGTGTGACCTGCTGTAAAAGGTTAAGAAATTAATTCAATAGTTATTTTTAGCATCTAAAATGTTAAATTTGCCCCTTAGAACCTGGAATTTTAAGATCAAAAACAGCACAGTTCATTGTAGTATTATTTGCAGGTACAAACGTGGGAACAAACTAATGGCAGAATATATTAGGATCTAGTCAATAAGGAGCTTTGCAGTATTTAAAAAGAATCCATTAGATCTGAATGTTTTCACCCAAAACAGGGTTTCTACACTATTAAATCAATGAGTTGCTCAGGTTTATACATACATATTCACACAAATACACACATATGTGTTTGTATGTGATATGTAATATGTGTAAGTATGATTATAATATATATATTCCCACTTATAAAAAAGTTAGTAAAGCTGGAGTATTGGTTATATATGCTTTTGTGAACTGGGACAATATCAAGTGTACTAACATTCTTATCATAGGGGTACCAAAAGGAGAAGAAAGAGAGGAAGGAATTAAAAATTTATTTGAGGAAATAGCAATGGAAAACTTTCCTGACCTGATGAAAGAAATAGACATACAAGTTCAGGAAGCACAGAGAGTCTCAAACAGAATGAATCCGAGGAGACTCACACCAAGACACATCATATTTAAAAAACGAAAGGTTAAAGACTAAGAGAATCTTCAAAATAGCAAGAGAAAAACAGTTACCTACCAGGGAGCTCCCATAAGTTGATTTCTCAACAGAAACTTTTCAGGCCAGAAGATATTGGCACAAAATATTCCAAGTGTTGAAAAGCAAAGACATACAACCAAAATTACTGTACCCAGCAAAGCTATAATTTAGAGTTGGAGGACAGGTGTGCACAGGAAGAACCAAACTGTGTATCTAAGCCAGCTTTTGCCACTACAGGACCTGTGGGCAGGCCAGCAAAATTCCCACGGCACCCAGAGATCAGCCTTCACCTGCCTCTGCCTGTCAGCTGCCTGGTCGGCTCAGTCACTGAAAGAGACTCTGTTGGTACTTGAGTCGCATTAAGTAAGTTCAGTGAATCATCATGGAGGGGCGAGTGGTGTTCACCATACTGACACAGAGACAGCCACAAACTGTGGATCACTTTGTACCTCCAAAAAGTTTGCCTAGGGCCAGTCACAGGCCGTGTCTGACATTGGGCTGCACCAGAGTCGCTCCTAAGAGGCACCAGAACCAACACACACAGTGACCACCTTCAGACAACATGAAACCACAATCCAATTAGTTTCACAAGTGGCATATCCAAAGGGAGATTTTGGCAGGTACCAGACCTTATCGAGGCAAATTCTGCTTCAGGTGGTCAACTGCATAGCAGCTTATTAACTGAGGTACGGGTCGATCCTCACAGTTAGCCAGCCAGAGAGGGTTGACCCCACATATGAACAGGCCAATAGAAATCAAGACTCAGTTACAACAGGAAGGCCCACATCACTCACATAAGGGTCATTCCTGGAGCACCCACATCAGGTGGTCAAGGACACTGTGCCACTGGGTCCCACAGGACACCTACTGCATAAGTCCACCCTACCAAGACTGGAAGTTATAGCAAATCTATCTAATACATAAAAACAAATACAGAGAGGCAGCCAAAATTGAGACACAAAGGAATATGTCCCAAATGAAAGAACAGAAGCAATCTCCAGAAAACTAGCTAAATGAAATACAGGCAATCAATTTACCAGATATAAAGTTTAAAAACATGGTTATAAAGGTGCTCAATAAACGTAGTGAGAATTTCAACAAAGAGAAAGCAAGCATTAAAAAAGGACATAGAAACCATTCAAAAGAACCAGTCAGAATAAAGAATACAATATGTGAAATGAAGAATACACTATACGGCATTAACAGTAGGTTGGATGAAGCAGAGAATTGAATCAGCAATTTGGAAGACAAGGTAGCAAAAACACCCAATTAGAGCAGGAAAAAGACAAATGAATTTTTATAAATGAGGATAGTTTAAGGGACCTTTGGGACAACAAGAAGTGTAACAACATTTGCATCATAGAGTACCAGAAGAAGACAGAGCATGAAAATTGAGAGCGTATTTGTGAAATAATGACTGAAAACTTTTCTAACCTGGTGAAGGAGAAAGACACACTAGTCCAGGAAGTACAGAGGGTCCCAAACAAGATGAACTCAAAAAGGTCCACACCAAGATATATCATAATAAAAATGGCAAAGGTTGAAGACAAAGAGAATTTTTAAAGCAGCAAGAGAAAAAAAAGTTAGTTAACTACATGAGAAGCTCCCATTATACTGTCAGCTGATTTCTCAACAGAAACCTTGCAGACCAGATGGGATTGGCATGAAATATTCAAAGTGATGAAAATCAATGACCTACAACTAAGAACTACATTACTCAGCAAAACTGTCACTTAAAATTGAAGGATAAATAAAGAGTTTCTCAGACAAGAAAAAGCTAAAGGAATTTGTTGTCATGAAATCAGTATTTTAGGAAATGTTGAAGAGTCTTCTTTGAAAAGAAAAAAAACAGAGGAATATTGTTAAAAGAACAAAATGGCAATAAATATGTACCTATCAACAATCATTTTAAATGTAAATGGCTTAAATGTTCCAATCAAAGGACATATGATAGCTGAATGAATAAGAAAACAAGATGTATATATATGCTCTCTACAAGAGAACCACTTCAGAATGAAAGGTACACACAGAATAAAAGTAAAGGGATTTCATGCAAATGGAAATTAATAAAAAAACTGGGGTAGCAATACTTATACTTGGCAAAATAGACTTTAAAACAAAGTCTATAGTAAGAGACAAAGATGGACATTATATAATGATAAAGAGAGCAATCCAACAAGAGGGTATAATCCTTGTAAACATTTTCACACCCAACATAGGAACACTTAAATATATAAAGCAAATCTTGACAATATAAAGGAAGAGATTGACAGTAGCACAGTCATAGTAGAGGATTTTAACACCCCATTGACATCAATGGGTAGATCTTCCAAACAGAAAATCAACAAAAAAACAATGGCCTTAAGTGACATACTAGATCAGATGGATTTAATCGATATATTCACAGCATTCCATTCCAAAGCAGAATATACATTCTTCTCAAGTGTACATGAAAAATTTTCTAGAATAGATTACATGTTAGGACACAAAACAAATCTTAATAACTTTAAGGAGATTGAAATCATATCAAACATCCTCTTTGACCACAATGGTATGAAACTAGAAATCAATCACAAGAGAAAAACTGAAAAACACACAAAGGCATGGCGGCCAAAAAACATGTCACTAAACAATGAATGGATTAGCAATGAGATCAAGGAAGAAATCAAACTATACCTTGAAACAAATGAAAATGAGAATGTAACAATTCTCAATCAATGGGACACAGCAAAAGCAATTCTAAGAAGTCCTAAGAGGGAAAATCATAGCATTACAGGCCTACCTCAAGAAACAAGAAAATTCTAAAGATAAATAATCTAACTTTACACTTAAAGGAACTTGAAAAAGAAAAACACACAAACCCCAAAGTGCGTAGAAGGAAGGAAATAATAAAGTCAGAAATAAACAAAATAGAGTCTAAGAAACAATACAGAAGATCAATGAAACTGAGAGCTGGTTCTTTGAAAAGATAAACAAGAAATGACAAAACTTTATCCAGACTCACCAAGAAAAACAGAGTGAGAACCCAAATAAATAAAATGAGATATGTAAGAGGAGAGGTAACAACTGACACACACACCAAAAAAAAAAACCTTGTAAGAAAATATTACAAATGATACGTGAACAAATTGGACAACGTGGATGAAATGGAGAAATTCCTAGAAACATACAATCTTCCAAAACTAAATCAGGAAGAATCAGAAAATCTGAATACATGGTTTACAACATATGAAGTTAAAGCAGTAATCCAAAAACTTCCAATAAACCAAAATACTGGACTGGATAATTTCACAGGTGAATTTTACCCAACATTCAAAAAGGAATTAATACCTATTCTTCTCAAACTATTCCAAAATTCAAGAGGAGGGAAGATTCCCAAGCTCATTTAATGAAGCCAGTATTATCCTAATTCCAAAAGCAGATACACTGCTAAGAGAGAAAATGATAGGCCAATATCCCTGATGCTAAACAGAGATGCTAAAATCATCAACAAAATATTAGCAAACCAAATCCAGCAATACATTAAAAATATCATACACCTGATCAAGTGGGCTTTATTCTGGGGATGCAAGGTTGCTACAATATCCACATGTTAGTAAATGTGACAAACCACATAAACAAAATAAAAGATAAAAAGCACATGTTCATATCAATAGATGCAGAAATAGCATTTGATAAAACCCAGCAACATTTATGATAAAAACTTTCAGAAAAGGGGGAATAGAGGGAGCATTCTTCAGTGTAATATAAGCCTTATATGACAAACCCACTGCCAGTATCATATTCAATGGGCAAAAACTACAAGATTTCCCTTAAGATCAAGAACAAGACAGGGATGTCCACTTTTACCACTTTCGTTCAACATAGTACTGGAAGTCCTAACCATAGCAATGAGACAAGAAGAAGAACTAAAAAGGTATCCAAATTGGAAGCAAGAAGTAAAACTGTTACTATACATAGGTGACATGATACTGTACATAGAGAACCCTAAATATTCCAAGAAAAAAAATCTACTAGAACTGAGAGAATTCAGTGAAGTAGCAGAATACCAAGTAAATATCCAAGAATCAGTTCTGTTTTATACACCAATAATGAACTATTGGGAAGGAAACCTAACATAGCAATCTCATTTACAATTGCACCAAAAAAACATGTAGGAATAAATTTAACTGAGGATGTAGAAAACCTATACATGGAAATTATAACATACTGGAGAAGAAACTGAAAAAGATACAAACAAGTGAAGCATATACCTTGTTCAGCAGTGTGGGGCTTCCAGGAGTAGGGAGGATGAGGCTAGTGGGTTTCTGGTGAGGCTTGGAGGAAGGTGGGGGGAGTGGTCCCCACCCCAGAGCCTCACAACTCAGTCTGTCCTGGATTCCACCCAGATCTTGGCAGGGTGGAGCCACCAGGAATCAGGAGAGGGGTTGCAGGGAGAGCAGGAGAATGGATCTCCTGTGAGGGGAAGGCCCAGTCAGGTTCATGGAAAAGTGGGAGAAATAGTCCCAGCCCCAAAGCCACACAGCTCAGTCACTGACACCCCCTGAGTCTGCCCAGACTTCTACACCCCAGCCCAGGCAGCTGACTCCTCGGCAGGGCACAAGCTCCAAGGGGCAGGCTACAGGGAGTCCAGAGCTCTTGTTTTCCCCAGTCTGATATCTATAGAGGGGAGTGATCTGCACAATAAAGAAGGTGTTTGCTGTGTGGGAAAATAATTCAGCTACAGGTATCCTGGCTGCTGTCGCTTCAGCTTTCTCCTCAGAGCCACAAACCCCAGCCTCCACTCACATGACTCTAGTCCACCCTGCCCTCCCTCCACCAGAGCCCAGGGTGAGTGGCTGCGAAAGACGTTTTGTGCATAGGCCCTTTGCGAGGGTACCTGTGTCTCTAACTGACTCTTGTCTTTCCCCAGCAGACAGAATCTCTGCTGATTTTCATAGCCGGAAAACCATGTAGGTACCTCTTCCTGGCTCTGGTGCCCTGGGCTGGGGAGGCTGACTGGGGGGTTGAGATCCCATGCTTCTCAGGGGGAACCTTTGCAGCTGAGATATCTCTCCGGAATTTCAGCTGCTGTCTATGGGAGCAGGGCTAGCCATTTCTGTGTCTCCATTCTTCCTATCAGTCTCGGCGTGGCTTCTTCCATAAATCCTTTGTTATAAGACTTCAGCTACTTTTCAGTTGGTTATTTAGGTTGATTGCTCTATACTTGAGCTCTAAATACAGATTCGTCTTGGAAGGAGGTAAGTGTAACATCCCTCTAGGATCTGCCACCCTCTAGGATCTCTGGCCATCAATCCTTAATGCTACTTAGCTAGCAGCTGCATCACTCCAGTCTCTGCCTCTGTTGCTACATGGGTTCTCCCTGTGTGTCTCTGTCTCTGTTTCCAGCTTTTCTTCTCTTTGGAAGAACATCAGTCATATTGTAGTAAAGGCCCACCCTATTCCCCTGTGTCCTTATCTTATCCAATCACCTCTACAACAGCTCTATTTCCAAATGAGGTCACATTCTGAGGTACTGGGGAGTACGACTTCAACTCATCTCTTCGGAGGGCAAATTCAACCCATAATAGAAGCATTCACCATAAGGGAAAGGACTGATATGTTTTATTACACTAAATAAAAAGTGAGTAATTCTTCTCTTCTGTAAGATATGTCAGATAAGAGATAAAAGAAATTAGAAGTCCTTTTTCCTATTTTTAGTAATCTTGGTACTATAAAACAAATGTGAGTGTTACATAAACAAAAACTACACACCTCAACATAGAACTATGTTTATTAAAAAGTAACATTTTAAAAATGTAGTACAAAAATACAGAGTAAAAATTAATTTGTTCTTAGACCCCTAAGGTATTTGTCATAAAACATTTTATTCTGTTTCTTTGGGTTTTAAACTTTGGTTTAAAAGGTCTTCTCTATTTGAGATTACTTTTGGAATTCTCCAGTTCTTTCTATGTCACTAGGTATTCATTCATTCATTCACTCATTCATTCAGCAAATCCCTTACCTTCCTGTATGTACAGCAGATATACATGTAACAGCGCTAAATGTTTCCACTTATATTATACTGAAACAAGCTTTTAAAACCATACAAATAAGTCCATTTGTTTGTACATAAGAATTTGATTAGTGTTATGGAAAAAATAGAGTGAGGAGGATCAGAAGTGCCAGGTGTCTCTAACATGTTGTAAATTTAAATGTAAATGAGCCTTTTCGAAAAAGACCAGCTTGATCAGGGCATATTTCAATGAAAATATGAGCATATACTTAAAGAGTAGATATTATGCTATGTTTAGGAATAACATTTAGAAGAAATTAGACAAATACTCCAACTAAATTTTTCTCCAACTACTTAGATGAAGTGGTGAAATAAAATGTTTCATGTCATGATTTTGGAAGATAAAACTAACTGCTGTTTTTCTGGAAGGGGTAAACAAATGATACAACCTTAATCAGATATGTATCAGATACCAACATTTGGCAGGGGACGAGTCTGCGTGCGTCTTTATTTGGCTCTTTTCTGCTGACTTACCTTTGTCATTTCTGCTTTCCCATTTCTCCTCCTCACGTGAAACCAAATTCCCTGGGTTTTGAATAGCTGATTAGTCATCACAGAGTCCTTTATCAAAAATACCTTCAGTGCTTTTGGCCAGCTGTGACTTTCAGTAGCACAGGCCATTCACAAACATAATTTCATTAAAAGTGATAGCATTTTGAGTGTAATTTTCTCATTTCCACCAGATTCAGATGTAGGAGACAACTCCTGCAAAGTCCCATGTGAGGTGCACTCCCTGTGCACGCTGCGTGTGCTGACAGAGGACGGCCTCCCAAGACCATGACCTCTGGGCAGTGCTCCTGTCTCTTCCAACTGTGCAAGTGTCATCCCTCACAGCAATCTGGAAGCTATCAATATGATATACTGTTTAAGACCGTTACTTTCTTTTTATTTTTTTTTTAATTTAAGACCAGGAGTACTTTTCTCAAACCCATCAGGGAAATGAACAGGTTGGTTCTGTAACAATGTGTCGTGCTGAAAAGCACAGGCCAGTAATTGCATATAAATACATACTGCTACATTCAAATGACCCGATCAGACCACAAGTCTTCAATGTTCAACACAGAATAAGTATCCCTGTACAAGCAGCATTGTTGTGACATTTTAACTGTAGCATTCTTCTCCTTCCTTACCCTCTCCTTTTGGCAGAATCCACACCAACTTCCTCATATTGTTCCAAAAGCAGCCATGTCCTCACGGGCCTCAGAAAGCTGTCCTTCCTCCATGCCCTCACCCACGTGCCAGTGGACAAAGGCACACTCGGCATACGTCAGGCCAAACTTGTGGTCCAAGCAAGCCCAGGCCTCAGCAATAGCTGAAGTGTTGCTCAGCATGTACACAGCTCACTGTACTTTGGCCAGGTCTCCGCCAGGCACCACAGTGGGAAACTGGTCATTAATACCAACTTTGAAGCCAGTGGGGCACCAGTCCACAAACTGGATGCTGCACTTGGTCTTGATGGCAGCAAGGACAGCATTGGCATCATATCACCATGGTACATTCTGCCATTTGGTTGGTTGGCTCATAGCATGCATTGGTGATCTCTGCTACAGAAAGTTGTTCACGGTAGACTTCCTCAGCGGAGATGATGGGCGTGTGTGACCAGAGGGAAGTGAATGTGGGGATAGGGCACCAAGCTGGGCTGGAATTTGGTCAGATGAGCTTTCAGAGCTCCATCAAATCTGCAGGAAGCAGTGGTAGAGAACACAATTTGACCTATTAACCTATTCAGGTTGGTATTGGTAGGGCATTCAATCTCGAGATTTCTATGACAGGTGTCGTAGTTGGCCTCATTGTCAACCATGAATGCAAAGAGTGCTCCAGGGTGGTGTGGATGAAATCGTAGGGCTCAGGTACAGCTGCGGAGGCCTGGGGGACTGGGTAATGGAGAACTCCAGCTTGGACTTCTTGCCATAACTGAGAGAGATTTTCTATCAGCCCGGAGGGGAACCCAGAACTAGTTCCCCCAACAAGCTGTGGGAAACCAAGAAGCCTTGAAAACTGTGCACTGGCCAGTCAGTGTCTGAATTCGTTACAAGATGAGGTCGATGATCTCCTTGCCAATGGCGTAGTGCTCGCAGACATGGTTATTGGGAGCATCTCCCTTGCCTGCGGTGAGCTGCTCAAGGTGGAATATCTGGTGGTGGGTACCATTTGGAACTTCATCAGTGACTATGGGTTCTAGGTTTACAAACACTGCTCTGGACTTATGCTTGATAGTGCCTCTCACTGACAGTATTCAAAGAGTCGTCTCCCTCCCACCTCATGATGGTCATTTGGCATCTGGTCATCAGGTCGGATGCTGTGTTCTAAGAAGTAGAGCCCTCAGCAGGCATTGCTTATCTGGACACCAGCCTGGCCAACACAGAAGGAGATGCATTCATGCATGGTTGCTTTGCAGACGTTGGGGGCAGGGGGATGAAGAGGAAAGGTTGTTGCTTCTTACAGCACAATTCTTAAGGTGATGGATGTCAGAGAACCTAAGATCACTGCTTTTTCTTCTAGAATCTTCTCAAGGGTAGATGATAAAGACAGATGTTAATTGCTACACATGGTTGAAAACTGAGGTTCTTCTGGATTTCTGTTAGCAAATTGGTATCAGGTAGAACCCTGAAAGGTCTTTTAGCACTTTCATTTTTGGGGGGGTAATAAGATGGTCACTTTTCAGAGATATTAAAAACACATGTATCTTCAACATGTGTTGAAGAATGTTTCATCGTGGCTGCCCTGCTCAGGCTGCCCTGCTCAGGCTGCCGTGCTCAGGCTGCCGTGCTCAGGCTGCCGTGCTCAGGCTGCCGTGCTTTGTCAGCTGTGGTGGAATATCACCCTGAAGTGAAAGGTTACTTTGAGAGCACTGTTGTTCTTTTTCTTTGCAGATCATCTAGCCAATTAAAAAGGCCCCGAAAAAACTGCCTTCTTGGTCCATGTCCATCAATTCTTGATTAGTTACAGATACAAAAATTTTGTCATTTTCCTTAAGTTCAAATATTCCACCTTGATAGATGGAATAGAGTCCATATTCTGAATCTTTAGACCAACAACTATTTCTAGCACTTTTCATCAGCAGTATAGGGTCATTGTACGTTGTGAATTTGTAAATATATTGTACCATCTGTTTGTTTTTCCTTCTGTGCCCTACTGTTGAAACATCCTCAGGTTCCTGAAAGCGGAAGTATGTTTGGGAATAAATATAATAAAACCCTGTTCGATCGATAACTAGTTCTCCATTCCTTATGTGCATATTATTCAAAAATGAATGTCCTTTTCTTGATGTTTCCCAGGAGGTTATTTTATGGCCGAAAACATTTTCATTCTTGGAGTCTGGATGAAGGTTAGAGAGTAAAAAAGTTAACAAAAGGCAGTTCATAGCAAAGCAAGGCATGTCTAAGGACTGTTGCTAGACTATTTTTTGGTTGGTATTGCAAAGGATTTCAGTCAAATATACAACTTCTTGCTCCTTTAATCTTACAAGGATTTAAAATTCTGGTCATATAGAAATCTGAAGGCCTCTGTATTATTTTGACCTGTTGGGAGAGTACCTTATTTTTCTGTACCTTGTTTTCTACTTACACCACATCTACCGCACTTATCTCTGAATGGTAGTGCAGATACGGTTCACTCAGGTACTCCTGGGCAGAACTTCCGTCCTGGACCCCTGCCTCCCTTCTTGTGCTGTGAGCTCAAATGGAGAGCATATAAAGAAACCAAAAGAAACATATCTACTTCCTTAAGCTTAAAGCTCAGAACTTCTTGCTTTTTCTTTGGATCTCTGTGGATTCCCTCCTTGGTCTTTCTCAGGAGCCAAAGGCAGCATCCAAGCGGAAGGCATCTCTAGTCCACAATAAGACAGAGCACAAGGTTCGGCAAAGATATAATTTAAAGATCTTGAGATCCTTGGATCTTTAAGTCCTAACGACTGAATAAAAAAGGGCCCTACAAAATATGGTATTCCTTTAAACTCTGGGCTCATCTCCATGACAGAAACAAAATTTAGTTTTTCAAGAGTTTAAAATAACCATCGTATTTGTTGATAAGTAGTGAACAGTAACATCACAATAATTATCTCACGCATAAGCAGAACTGTTAATTATTTATAAAACACGAGTTCAGGAATATCAGGAAGGCAAATGTCTAGAAAAATTCAAAACAATAACTCTCCCAAAACACCCCATTAACTGATGCCTGAAATTTCTTTAACTTAGGACAAAACCTTTCACAATATCAAAAGTGACTATTTAGTGAGTTCTTAAAATACACCAGGCATTTTGCATGTGTTAATCTTTACTGTTTTCTGTGTTAAAGATTATCTCTATTTCATTTGAGAAACTGAAGCTTGATTAGGTTAAGTAATTCGCTCAAAACACATGTCTAGGTAAGGAGGAGCTGGGATCCCAGTGGGGGTGTGCAGACTGCAAGACGCATGTGCTCCACTGCAGCACTCGACGGACACCTGCTCTGCAGTGAGACGGCGGGTGTAACATGTTTGGCTAAACTCTATGACACTGACGTTTCTGTAAGTAAAAACGAGTCAAATATCGGCAACTGCTCGCAGTTCAACCAGAACAAATGTCACAAGGAGTGCTCCGTGACTAATGACTGATTTAGAACTTTGAAGAGGGAGAAGGTTTGATAAAAATGAGAATGAGAAATTACTTTAAAGAAGAAGGAAAAAGCAAAAACGGAGACATGGGAAACTCAAAGGCCAAGTTTTCCCACTTTGTAATTTTCTGGAGACCACTTATATTAGGGAAGTAATGGAGCCATTTGTCTTGTAATTTTGCTTCTGACAAGAGTCAGTCTAAGACCTGATTATGGCTGTGCATTTTATAGACAGCTATATACACGTTTCAGGTACAAGTGAAAAGAGTAAATTCTTTGGAACCAATGCGTTTATTGCATCTCTTTAAACCATAAGTTAGTTGTTTCTCTTACTTGGCACTGGGGGTGTGGTTCTTCTCTGTTTGCCCCCTGTTATGTGAGCCGCTACTCTCTGAAGTTCTCTTCTTATTAGCGAAGGACCATCCTGTTGGCTTTCTGAAAGAGAAATGACAAAGAATCATCAGCACGTGTTCGACTGCCTCTCAAATATCACATTGATGTCTACAGCTATCACCAATCACACATTGCGAGCACTCAGGGCTTCCCACGTTGATTACATGATTTCATAAAAATCAGCCAACATTTACGTATGATGATCAGTCTACTTCCATTTATGTTTAATTTGAAAAGTACTTTTGATGAGAAGAATAAACAGTACTTTGGGTTATAATTTATCAGCGTCTCAGAAGTAATTACAGTGAATATGACAAAGTGAAGATTATGGCCCTCTTCCAAAAGTACCCAAACAAACAGACTAAAATCTGTGGACCTGCAATAATCTTGCTGAGTCACTAAAGTGCACAAATAGCCCTGGCTGGTGTGGCTCAGTTGGTTGGAGCATCGTCCCACAAAGCAGATGGATGCCAGTTCGATTCCTGGTCAGGGCACATGCCTGGGTTTGGGGTTCCATCCCTGGGTGAGGGGGGGCATAAGAGAGGCAACAACTGATGCTTCTTTCTCACATCAATGTTTCTCTCCCTCTCGTTCTCACTCCCTCCCCCCTCTCTCAAAAAATAAATTGATAAAGTGCACACATAACCAGGTATTGGCAAATTTCTATATTGAGTTTCTATATATAGAATCAGAATGATACCAACTTCATAACCTCTATTTTTTCCTCTTTGCCAGCTACTAGAATTCTAAAGGAGTAGCAGTGATAACAATTGTCCGTATGTGCTACGGGCTGGTATCCATCAGTCATTCCCCCTAGCTTCCAAAAGGAATGTGAACTGACATGCTGTTCACAGTAATCAGTACATGAGCATATTAATCGCTGGTTCACTAGATCGTAACAAACAAGTACCTTATTGACCACCATTGAAGTACTTTGGAGCAGCCTTAAAAAATACAGATTCAATGAAGTACTCTTCCAAAAAATCTGCTCAAACTTCCCAAATGTGTTTACATTTGGTTTTTCAAGTAAATTACATTCTTTTATTAAGCAAATATTGCCAGGAATAAGGCACTGCACTCCATCCTACATGGGGCAGCAAAGATTAATCACTTATTACACTGACTAAGCCCTCAAGGGACTTAAACAGTCTTTTAGGGAAGATACAAACTAGAAAGTGAAATCTTGTATGGGAAATAAAGGGGGATATCTCTTGAGAGGAAGTAAAGATCCCTATTTATTGGAAAGCTGAGGTGAAGGGACAATTTGTGCTAAAACCTTTTTATTCCCTTACTCCAGCAAACCAAAGTGCCCATCACATCTAAGACAGGCACTCTTCCAGGAACAGGACAAAAGAATTATAAACAAACAAGTGCAAGAAAGTGCTTGAGGTGCAAGGATAATGATCTTCACAGGGTGAGAATGAGCAGCCTCTGGGCCAACCGGGACAGAGAAAAGGCCAAGGCAAGATGCACAAAGCATTCTAGGAACTCAGGCAGGAGAGGAGTTCAGTTTCAGGTTTGAATGGTGAGCCAAAGTATAAAGGATTTGAGTGCTAGGCTAAGAGATTGGGGTTTTAGAGGGTGTGGGAAGATCCTGAAAGGTTTTGATCAGGGAAGCAAAAAGGTATGTCTTGCGCTTTTGGTTTAGGTTTAGGAATAAGGTTTGACGGTAGAAGGTGAGAGGGCTGGAGAATGGCAAGTTACCGGACCATGGCTGCAGAACTGAGAGCAAGAGGCCTTAACCTAGGCCAGAAGTGGAAGGAAGGGACTAAGAGGAGGTGATAAAATTCCACAGGGGAAAAAGGAATGGGAAATGAGAATGTCTTCTCGCTTCTTCTAATTTTGTATTAATTGTTACTTATTCAGGATGGCTGGACACATATATGGTGCTGAAGACCAAACATGGCATGAGGATGCATAGTCAGTTACATATTATTCTCAAGGTGCTCAACTTTCCAGGTTGGTTACTTCATAACTTCCAGTGTTAAATAATTCATAATGTCCTGCCTGCCCCTAGACCTTAGCACTTTGTTTTTAAGTGTTCAATAACAAAATCCAATTATAAATATCTTGCGTTAGAAGTCACTGCAAGGATATGGGAAAGCCAAGATTTGAAAGCAAATTCTTTTTTTGTTTTGTTTTGATTTTTTAGAATCAGTGGTTGATAGTTGTGTTTGTTGTCATTTTAATGTTCATAGTTTTAACGAAAAGATATAAAAATGAAAGGAAATGAACAAAGTAAGTGTAAAGAAATAAAGTATAAAGGCACTTTGATGGCCAGGGAAGATCTGACAATTGGGTGATGAGGAAGGAGGATGAGAAGGTGCCAGTTTTGTAAAAAGCTAGGAATGAAAGAAGCCAGATGGAAGCCCGAAGAAGCCAGCCTGGGCAACAGCAGTGTTGGAGATGTGGGTCTTGAACGGGAAGATGGCTGTGGCATGGGGACCACAGGATGAGAACTGTGGGTGTGTAGGCGGATTGTTGGGAAAGCGATGAGGGAGCAAGGGGTTGCTGCATAAAGAAAGGCATAGACCTGTGGTGGTGAGAAGCAGAGAAGATGGATAATTTGAGGGCCCTTATTTATCTTCCTTCCAGCCATGTTCTAGAAAGCATTGAGATGGCTTGTGTATGATACACTAGAAGGTAAAAAAGAATGATTGAAGAAGTTGAGGTGAAAGGAAAATCCATGTCGGAAAAATAAGATTCAGCTGAAATAAAGTTCTGGCCGTAAGTGGGCCGCAGATTTAGTTCTGAGCTTTCCAGCTACCAGTGCAAAAAAGGAAATAGAATCAAGTAGCTTGAAACACCGAGCAGCAGGTCAGAGGCAGGACGCATGGATGGGGGCAGAGTGAAAAAGGGGGGAGGGTCATTCACCCTGCCAGGAAGTTGACAGTAGAAAGTTAAAATAACGACAATAAAAAAAATACTACCTGGAGCTGTAGAAATGGTTTCCTCATAGGTTCTCAAAACCATCTGCAAATAGTATTGAATAAAGGTTGTTAATTTCCCTAAACATTTTAAACTGACCAGAGCATGTCTATGGCCCCTTTTCCTAATGTCTGACAGATTCCTGTGTAAGGTATCCACCTAGGAAGATTCAAGTTGTTCGAGCATGGACTGTGAGCGGGGAGGGGTGTGAGCTGGGCGGGGTGTGAGCTGGGGTGAGCACCGAGGCAGCCACACTCATGCGCTGACCAGGAAGGGTCCTCTGTCTGGGAAAGCTCTGTTTCTGGATGACGCCTTTGAAAGTCCGCACCTGGAGCAGCAGGGGAGTAAGGAGCCATCTGCTGAGTTAGGTCCGCCTAATCTTTGCCAGACCCCCCTCCTGTGGCAGACATGTCACCTCAAGGTCTTTGTGGGGGGAGCGTGTGCTCACACGCATGTGTGTGCATGAATGATCTGTGTAATAGAGTCCAGGGGCTTTAAATTATTGGACAGACCCAAACCTCATGACATAAGGCACACCTCCTCTCTCCTGACGCCGAGATATACACAGCTCAAGGTCAGGTGTGACCTGGCCGTACCTGTTGTTCTCTCACTTCTGAGATTGTGGCTGAGGCATTCTTAAAGATATTTTTACCAAGTTCCTGTACCTTTACTAAAAATCTAGTATTACCCTCTTTGTACTAACCAGTGGGAAAACCCAGTAAAAAAGAGTAAAAACTGAGACTTTCTGTTAATTAAACAGATCCTCTCTTGGCTCATCCACAGCTTCTAAATTCCCCTCCATTCCATTCTGTCACCCCCAGGGGACTTTGTTCATCAGGGCCCTCCCTTCCTATCACTGTTGTGAATTTTGCAACTACCCGAAACTCCCCTCCTCTGCATTCCCATCTCCAATCAGAAGCTCTCTGCTTCTCCATCTGTGTCACGCTCTGACTCCAGATAGTGGGGGACTACCAGCCCAATGGGCGTTGGTATGTGAGAAGGGAAAGCGAGAGGTGGCCTCAGCATATTCTCTCTTTCTCTCTGTTTCTCTCTCATTTCAGAACAGAAAGGAAGGGAAAAGGAGGAGCAGCAGAGAGGAGAGAAGGGTAATTCCCACAGTGTGGGAGGCAGCATATAATAAGAATTACAGTCTGGTCAGATGGCTTAGATTCACATCTGTCAATTACTAACTTGGGAAACTTCTCAAGCTACTTAACTGATATAAACATTAACTTCATCTATTTTTCAAAAAGAAGAAGAGGAAGATAATGATTTCCTCCTCACAGAGCTTTGTGAAAATTAAAGGAGATAGCATATGTAACGGTTATAGGATGTTTACTGGAAATAGCCTATTTAGTTAATAGTGCCTGGAAAAAAAGGGGAAGTCCTTTGCCCCTAACTCTTACCCACCCCTCTGGGCCCTCTCCCAGCTTCTCTATTCTACTCAGTGGCAGGATGTGAGAATGGGAGGGAGAGGGAGAATGGCAGGAAAGTGATACATAAATCCATCCCCACCACCCTTATCTCCCCACTCCCAGCTCCAGCATCTAGTTCCCCCTTCCCACCTCAGTCCCCAAAGCTGTGGCTTTGCCACCCCCTTAGCCCCAGGGTCTGTGGAGTCCCATTTCTAGGTTCCTCAGGGCCCTTCCCTGGGCCTTGTCATTTGGGGTGATGAAGTCACAGCTGCTTCAGCACAGCGTGTGCGCAGTGGGCCACACTTCCAGGGCGGTCACACAGCACAGGTATTTCCAGGACTCCCAGCTGGAAGTCTAACTTCATTGCCTGCAGAAATAGCATCATAGCTGACATCTGGGCTCTACGGTGAGGACTGTTGCGGTGTGTGAGTCGGATCCTGAAGCACCAGTGAAACACTGGTTCTATGGAAAGCCATACTGAGAACCGAAGAATGGACTTGCGATCATGTCATTAAAACACGTCCTCCTCCTGTTCCAGGAATGTCCCAGTATTTCTTAAAAATCGATCATGGGACTTTCTACTTTACAGAGTATTTTCATATCTGTGTTCTCATGTGACTTTTCTGAGTAGGCAGAAGGTGAGTATTACTAAATACCATCTTGTAAAGAAGGAAGAGCTCTAGAGAAGAAACTTAATTTCACATGTCACGTTGCTGAAAGAATTATTATGTAATCATATTTAGTGAAATAAACTGTTAATTAACATAATGTTTCTGCTAGAGATCTCATTTAAGCAACTTCCATAAGCAGACAATACTCTACTTTGTCATTTAATAACTATAAATTAGATGTCATCACCTTCAGTTTTTCTGTATCTCTTCCTTCCCTCTTCCTTTCCTCTTTCTTCGTCTCTATATGCATAAAAGTAAATATATATTTTCAGAGATCAACATCTGGGAAAAATATAGAACACCATTATTTGGCCTCTTTTGTCTTCTGAATAGAAGAAAATCACACATATCCTTCATTGTTGTGTGACCTTGAACATATAGCTCTGCCTGTACCTCCGTTTCCACAATGTCAGGTACAAAGGTTAGACTAGATGGGGAGGCTGTTTAGAGTAGAGGCATGAACTCTAGACCAGGAGTCAACTAGGCTGTCTGGAGCTGTTCCACCTTTTCAACCAGGAGCACCGCTGTCTGGTGCTGTTCCACCTTTTTCTAGTTCTATGAATTTAGGGAAAAATCCCTTAAACACTCTGGACCTCAGTTTCTCCTGTTGCAAAATGAGGAGTCTAGACATGATAATCTTAAATATTCCTTCTCTTCTGACCTTCTCTGCCGGCTGGTGAAGTTACCTGATAGTTCACCTACCTTTCTCACTAACTGCCGTAGTTGCCACCTTATATGCCAGCAGGGGTTGTTTATGCTGTCGTCATCATAGGGGTCCCAGGAACCATCATCTTCCTTTAATAAGCAAGCAATGCCACTTTTGGACAACTTCTCCTGCACCTAGGGCGAGACAGAACATCGTACAAACATTACTCACGAGTGCTCTTTATATTTGCCCATTTAGAAGTTAAAGCTATAGACACTGATGAAACATTCAGGGTCACCTTGGCACCTTGGATACACTGATAGCTTAAAATTAAAGTAGGCACGCTGTTCTTTGCCCTTTAAATAAAAGTAAGCAGTTGGATATGGTGGACATGGCACAAGTGTGGGCCAGGCACTCCGGGTCACAAGGTGTTCGACGGCCCCTGCCATTAATCAGTGGTGTGTTTAAGTGGTGCTTCTGTGTCTGTTCTTCATCTGAGTTTTGAGCTGGTTCACTGTGGCGATCATTGAGGTCCCTTCCAGTTCTAGCAGAGTGTGGATCCCATTGTAAGGCTGGAAACTCACCTAAGTACCAAGTAGGCAGTGAAGTCTGTTAAAATGTAAGATTCTAAATGAAAAATTAGCCAAACAGCCTGGGGAGCGGGTAGTGTTCTGTTACTTGATCTGAACTTTGGCCCTCTGAGAAGACTAGTTATTGTGATTTCTACTTCTCTTGGATGGCAGTGTCTGGATCACGTTGCCACTGAAAATCTGAATACTGCCTCATTAAATATCCACACTAACTAGGGATTTATTTACCTGCAGAGATTTGAAACACCATTTGAAGTTTTGCTACCTCATCCTGCTTGAGAATAAACATTTATAATGGCCAGATCATTGTTGTCAACAAAGTCCTTTCTTGATGTCAAACACACATGCCCCCTATATACACACAGACACACACACACATGCATGCATGCGTGCGAGCGCATACTTCCCTAACCAACTGGAGCACTTCAGCCTGATTACTGGTTAATCTTACAAATTGAAACAAGAAGTTCACTCAAGATCAGAATTTTGTTTCTAACCATTGAAATTAAGGAGATGTTATTTCCTCCTACAAAACTACTTGACTGACCTTCCTGTGGAAAGATGATATTCCAAACCAAAACAACTGCTTGCAAGAGGTCCTAGCCAGAGCCCTGTGGTTCTGTGCTCAGCCAAGTACCCCGTGGACATTTGATCAATGCACCTGAGTTAATTCCTTTCACACACTCCAGATAGGACGTTCATTTACTTTTAAATGTTTGTTTTTTTTTCCTTCCTTTATTTAATGACCAGAGTACAGCATTCTCCTGGTCAATGCAGTGGAGGTGACAGCTGGGGCCACCTGCAATGGAGTTGGAGAGGGTTTCTTTGCCCCTGCCCACCCAGAGTCTTCAATTTTAGGCATCTATGGACATCTGCAATTGATGTAGGAACTGAAAAGCCTTTCTAAAAGACAGACTAACTGCATATGCTTTAGAAACATGAGAACTTGCCTAACAGGGTGGGGGTGGGGTGGGGGGAGGATCAGGGAGGAAATTCAGGCTCAGGGTGGTTGCAGGAAGAACAACTGGCTCTGTCCCAGCCCATTCAGTGTGAGTGTAGCTTGGCCAGGCACTGGTCTGAGGAAACTAAACAAACAGGCTTGCAAGCTTCTGTAACTCAGTACGAAGGATGTTGTGGCACAGAAAGGAGAGAGAGCAACTGCTTCACAGCAGGGGGAAGCTGTCAAGCACGGGAGGCTAGGGGCAGGGGCAGGAAAAGGCTGAGCCGGGAGCCGCTCAGGGTCAGGATGTACTGTTATTGTGAAAGGAAGGGGAGTTACAGAGGGTGGGTTTGGAGCAGGGGCCAGAAGCAGGGGTCAATTGCTGTTTAGTGACTCTGGATATCCTCTGGAAATTTTTCAGAAATCTTCAGGACCTTGAAAATTGAGTGTGTCCTTGGCTTACATGGGAGGGAGGTTGACGAGCTGATGTGACACTATTGCTACCTCACATTCAGTGAAGCCTAGAAACGTTGAGGATACACAGGCAACCTAGAAAATAGACATAATTAAAAAACACTTTTCTAAAAGCAAAACAAACAAGCAAATCCCTGCTAAAATAGCCTAATCCCTCCTCCTAGTTAAATTTCGGATGATCTCTCTTGTGTACAGGGTTGAGATCTGACTGTGTGGGGGCAATTTTTTGTATTGTTGTTTTCTCTTAAGACTATTTAAGAAGTCATGTTCCTTAAATCTGTATGAAAATCATATATGGGTAGTATAGATATTTTTATGACATTCACTGTAGAAAATGTAAAAAATGCAGATAAATAAAAAGGAAAAAAATCTTACCATAATCCTACCATCTAGTAATCACAATTATCAATTTTTTGGTGGTTCTTCTAGACATTTTTATGCATAAATATTGATTTCTGAATAACAGAAATCCAGAAAGAAAATCCCAACCATACTCCCCATCCCCACGTGTTCCTTGCATTGTCACTTTTGGTAATTTCTTCTATAGACTTCACCCAATGGGGAGCTAGACAGATGGGGAAGAATAATAATTCTGGGTTATTTCAAAAATGAGTAATGATTACTAATGTGAAGTGTCTTTCTCACCACTTCCTTTGCACCTCAAAGTATGGTTATTGCTGTACCTCCTAGGCTGGGGCTTTTGTCTCACTAGCCACTCCTGCACGTGTTGGGGCCAGGAAGGTGTATGTGCTACTTTCCTTTGCACACTTCAGGAAGGACACAGTTTTTGCAGTGGGTGCCTGCTCTTCTGTCCCAGAGCCCCTAGCTCTGTGAAGTGGATTTCTACAACTGCCACTGGTGCCATTGGCTAGGCCAGGTACACTCAGTCTTTGGCAGGGCTTGATGTCAGAAGGGTGGACTCCTTGGCCAGCTGGCTCAGAGACTTTGAGGTGGCAGGATGACCCTCTCTGCTGCCCAGGCATTAGTCTCTGACAGTCTTTTTCTGTAAACCACAAATAGCATAAAGGATCATTTATGGAGATTGGTGGAGAGGGTCCCCTTCTCTTTTCCCTCCCTATCCATGATGCCACAATGATAGGCAGTCCCATTGTCCTAAAACTTTTTCAGAGAGACAGAAACTTTGAAGGTGGAATCCATATTTACTGTTCATGCTTGCTGGTCTACCATTGTGTCTGTGAAGGTCCAATCCAATGTTATTCAGGCCTCCTTGATTCCCATTCCTTATAATCCTGCAAATTTTCACGAGCTAAAACCTACACTATGAACTTTAGAAAACTGCCACATGTTGAATATACTTTTCCAAACTCTACACAGACACCCAAGGAGGTTCAGATTCATTTTCCTTTGCAAAGTTTCCTCAAGGAGAGGGTATTGACTTCATGAGACTACTCCCTACTAATTACAATGGCTACTGCTTATTGGGCACTTATTTAAGGCCTGGGTTCAAAAGAGGGCTTTACTTTTTCTAAATTACTTTGTAGTTTTGGGCAAATCATGTCCCTAAGGGAAGTTTATCTGTAAACTTCCTTATCTGTTTATCTATAAAATGAGGTCATTATGTTTCCTTTATATGATTGTTATAAGGGTGAAGTAGGGTAATACTTTGCAAGGCTTCTATCTAGAACATAATACTTGCTTAGTATCTGTCAATTCTCCTCCCTTTCTGGCACTGTCAATGAACTTTTCTGCATGTCTGTATGTATGTATACATACACACTATGCAATCAAGAAAAACATACAAGTAGAGAGATGTTAAGCTTTATTTGAAATTTCCATTTTTATAGTTGAATTAAAAAAATCTTGATCATGTACAGAAAATTGCATGAGTCAGCTCAATCACGAACCAGTTAATTTAGTTTAAAATTAGACCAACTTGCAATGTAAGCAAGTTGAGGGACCCAAATGTGTACAGAGAGACAGGTTCACCCTGTTCATGCTGCAAAACTAACAAAGGCTAGATATGCTGGCTCCCAACAGATAAACACGGCAATACCCCCGCCTCTTACACAAACTTGGAACTGAAGACACAGTGATAGTTACATTTTTTTTTTCTTACAAATATACAGGCTGTTCTGAATGTGCCTTCTGATAAAACTGACTTTACTGGTCATTTCGTGGCAGCCATCATTTTCATAATTACCTAGAAATCAAACAAGATTCTACCTCATTCACTTCCAATCCATTGAAATAACCAAATTTATATCCACAGTGTATACTAACTGCACTTCCAAACAGATAAACCCACTATGGTTTCTGTGCAATTTATATTTTTCTGAGACCTTTAGTATTGCATTTTCTAGCCAGCTGGCAGATTTGATGTTGCCTTATCATACTATAGCAGGGCACCGTGTGCATTCCAGGTGCAAATATGATAACCCTGAGGATGCCCTGCTGCAGAGGGATGAGCCTAGGTGGCCAAAGGCTTGGGTTCAGCTCTGCTTCCAAAGCCCTGCCTGAGTTTCAATAAGCGCTTTCTCTAGGGGTGTCTAGTGTCCTCATCTATTAAATGAGGGGTGTTCAAAGTTCCTCCCAGCTTACAGTTCTTGATAGATTAGTCAAAATATATATGAGAAGCCAAGAGGTTGAGTTGGTTTACTTTCAACAATTTTGCATTCATAGTTTCAGAAGCTTTATATAGTTAACAAATACACAAATTAAAATGGCACTGTTTTTTTTTTTCTCCTTCAGGTGTACGTGGATTCATACCTGGACATTCGATAGGTGTAGAATAGTAGTTTTATTTTCAATTATTTTATGATGAACAATAAAATGTGAGTTCACCTGATAGCCATTATGTTACAGACTTTGCCCATTTCAGGCCTGCGGCCAGGGAGGAAAGGCAGAATGCTAGTTGTTTATGTTCTCAAGATGGTCAACACACAAACACCACAGACCTAAAACCAAAACGTATTTCAAAGGTCTGATCTGTCTCCACTCCATGTCTTGGAGGGAAAAAGAGAAACCAAGGCTTGGTTCTGATTTCAATTTAATGTGTATTATTCTACCTCCTAACTTTTGGAAGCCTGACTTGCCTGTGTGAAGCCTTTTCATACTGATTTAAGATATTTAAAAGAAAGGTGTGAAGAAGAATCTGGCACTGGTTACCAGCTCTGAAGCCAGAGGATAAGCAAACAGTCCATAAAGAGAGCATTTCTGTTTGTGCAGAGCCCGAGTCTAGTTTGCCTGCAGATCTTTGGAATTAGACACACCTAAGACAATACCATTATTGTTTGTGTTTTGGAACTTGCCTTCGGGTGGAACTCTGACTCTACCCTGTTCCTTGTGTACTAGGGATATCACCACATTTACAAAGGTCAGTTATTATTCAACAAGTATCTAATCAACACTCCTGTGAGGGAGCTACGTGCTAGCCCCAGGGGTAGGTGGGTGAGCAAAAGCAGACGGTGTCCTGCTCTGAGGCAGTTACTTTGACCCCCAAGAATTAGAGTCAAGACCTAGAAAACATTTAGCAAGAAAGCACGCAGTGAATGACAGCAACTGCTAATACAAAATACATATACAACTGAAGACAAAAAAACACCTCAGGAATTTTGCTGCCTACATCTGTTAGGAACTGGTAGGGCGAGTTGTACAACTGCACATTTTCACACAGTGCCTTATAAAGTTCTCAGTAACTATTAATGCATGTTAATACATACCAGCAGTCAGGGTCCACGGGCTGAGGGAGAGAACATTTTCTACACTATAAAGTTTTCGCAGAGGAGCAAGTCAAGACAAAGGAGAGGCAGTTAACCCAAGAGGGCTGGCAGCATCTGTCCACCCATGTACATTGTACTGACCTGTTTCAGCTCATTGGTGAAGTATATGTAAGTCACAGCCACAGAGACGGACTGCAGAAGCACGATGAAGATCACGATCAACAACCAGTTCAGTCCTGGACTGGAGTTCCCTGAGGTCTGCAATGCAGCCATGGCTTGTCCGTGCGAGACTGCTGCAGCGTCTGGCAGGCAGTTGCTGAGGAAGAAAAACTCAAAAGGGCGGTGGGTGGAGCTCAGTTGCATGGTAAATAGAAACTGAAAAACCTTTCTGTTGCCGTTAATGATTTTGTATTTGCCAAAGGCTTTGAAAGTAAAGAAGCTGAAATCAAACTGTTCTTTCCTGTGTCATACAGGGCTTGTCAGTTCCTGCACATGTGCATTTGCCCAACTGCAGCACCCCTAGATTCTCACGCTGCTTCTCCAAATACCACAAACACTGAACAGCTCCTCAGTTTGGAGCTCCTGTGTCACAACTGGCTTCACGAACAGGATATTCTGGAAAATGACCCTGTTGAGTAGAATGCCTGTAATGACATGCTGGGTGAGGGAAGCCAGGGGTATTCCTGGAAACAGTGGAGGGTAATCCTGTTGTGGTGCACCAGTACTGGGGGCATGTCCCCAGCGCTCCTGTGGGTCTTGCAGAGGACCTGTGTGTGGGGAAAGAAGCAGCTAAAGCAAATGTACAGGAGTTAGTGGGTGAGTTTATGTTAGTGAGAAAAATAAGGAGATAAGATTCTAAGGCTAGTCCTAAATCCCTTCTTGAAATTTTGCCTTCATTTTAGATTTAGTTTTTGTTTCTGCTTTGGAAAGGAGGGGCTTATATTGCATTTTATTATTTATTATTTTTTAAATTATATTTTATTGATTATGCTATTACACTTGTCCCACTTTTTTCTCCCCTTTGTTCCCCTCTACCCTGTACCCCCTTCCACCAGCATTCCACACCCCACTCTTAGTTCATCTCTATGGGTCATACATATAAGTTCTTTGACTTCTCCATTTCCAATATTGTTTCTAACCTCCCCCTATCTATTTTGTGCCTACCAAATACGCTCCTTATTTTCCTGTACTTCCCCCCCCCCATGTTTCCCCTGCCCCCTCCCCAGTGAAAACCCTCCCTGTGATCTCCATTTCTGTGAATCTGTTCCTGTTCTGGTTGTTTGCTTAGTTCACTTTTGGTTTTGTTTTTGTTTTTGTTTTTGTTTTTAGTTTTGGTTGTTGATAGTTGTGAGTTTGTTGTCATTTTACTGTTCATATTTCTTATCTTCTTTTTCTTAGATAAGTCCCTTAACATTTCATACAATAAGGGTGTGGTGATGATAAACTCCTTTAACTTTACCCTATCTGGGAAGCACTTTATCTGTCCTTCCATTCTAAATGATATCTTTGCTGGATAGAATATTCTTGGATATAGGTCCTTTCCTTTCATGATTTTGAATACTTCTTTCCAGCCCCTTCTTGCCTGCAATGTTTCTTTGTAGAAATCAGCTGCTAGTCTTATGGGAACTCCTTTGTAGGTAACTGGCTCCTTTTCTTTTGCTGCTTTGAAGATTGTCTCCTTATCTTTAATCTTGAGTAACTTGATTATGATGTGCCTTGGTGTATGCTTCCTTGGGTCCAACTTCTTTGGGACTCTCTGGGCTTCTTGGACTTCCTGAAAGTCTATTTCCTTCTCCAAATTGGGGAAGTTCTCCTTCATTGTGTTCTCAAATAAGTTTCCAATTTCTTGCTCTTCCTCTTCTTCTTCTGGCACCCTTATGATTTGGATGTTGGAATGTTTAAAGTTGTCCCAGAGGTTCCTAAGCCTCTCCTCATTTTTTTAAAATTCTTGTTTCCTCATTCTGTTCTGGTTAAATGTTTATTTCTTCCCTCTGCTCCAAACCATTGATCTGAGTCCCCGTTTCCTTCTGGTCACTGTTGGTTCCCTGTACATTTTCCTTTATTTCACTTTGCATAGCCTTCACATTTTACCCTCTGTTTTGTGACCATATTCAACTAATTCTGTGAGCATCTTGATTATCAGTGTTTTGAACTGTGCATCTGATAGGCTGGCTATCTCTTCATTACTTAGTTGTATTTTTTTCTAGAGCTTTAATTTGTTCTTTCACTTGGGCTACATATACTTTTTTTATTTTGCCATGCCTCTTACTAGTAAGGGGTAGGGCCTTAGTTATTCACCAGGGCAGGGCAGCCCTTGTTGCTGCATAGTGGTGCTATATGTGAGGGAGGGGTCTGTCTGAGAGGGAACAATGCCACTTGCTGAGCTCTTGGTGAGCTTTCAGTCACCTCCTCCACTACCTGCAAGTAAATTGGGCCTTTCTGGTGCTGGTTGCTGGGTGGGTGGGTTTATGTACCTTCTAGGACCCTCCCAGTCACTCCAATGAACTCTGCTGTGAGGATGGGAGTTTCTCCCAACACTGAAACCCCCACAAGTTTTTTTGAGTCAGAGGTTTTGAGGCTTTATTTCCCCATGCTGGGACCCTGGGTTGCATGGTCTGTCTCACTCTCCAGTTGTTCATTCCAATTTATCTGCACGCACATGTGGGATCACTTGCTCCTCCAGATACCAGCCACCACCTTGCCTGTCCATGTCCTCCAGCCACAGCCTTGTGGCTCACCCTCTCATCCTCTCACCCTGGCTGCCCGTCTCTGCCCCTCCTACTAGCTTGGCTGAATGTTTCTTCTTTAAATCCTTGTTTGTCGGACTTCCATATAGTTTGATTTGCTGGCAGTTCTGGTTGTTTTTTCTTTTTAAATTTGTTGTTGTCCTTCTTTTGTTTGTGCAAGGCGGCAATGTGTATCTACCTATGCCTCAATCTTGGCCTGAAGCCATCCACTGACTTACATTGCATTTTAGACTAATTAGAATTGTTTTACTAAAGGTCTAGTGAACAGGGTGAGATTTCTGAAATGTATTCATGAATTTATCAATCTAAAGAATACTGATTACTAATGTTTAAGTTGAAAAAATGTATGACTTTGGTAATAAAAGTGTAAATTATGGCAATAGATTTTAAAGGGATAGAATTAAAAGTAGATTGTTCTAATATCTGGATGAGTTTAAAAAAGAAGACAAAGAAAGATGCAGAAGGCTTGTGTAGAGGGAAGAAAGAAAAAGAAAAGCCAATAAAAACATTGTGTGCTTTCTCTACTCAAATTAGTAAGTCAAATAATATGTATAGATTTCACATGTTCAGTTGACATATGTATGGTCTTTATGTGATAAATGTTCATCTGTGTATTACACAGATGAACACATATGTTGTGTTTTCTGCCTGTGGATATCATAACTAGGGTGTAATATTTTATTGGCCTAAAGAAAATAAAATCTTATATAAATTAACACAGGAGCTTGTGGTTGGGACAAATTATTTGATGTGAAAAACAGTTTTAAGTTTGATTAATGCCTTTTAAAGTTATTTCCATAAAAATGTGTTGTTTTACAAAAAGTTTATGTTATAATTTTTTAGGTAACTTTGTTTGACAGCCTTCTCCCAAAGTTCAAATTTTAAGAGACTTTATTTATTTAAAAAGGATTTTATTTAGTTATTTTTAGAGAGAGGGGAAAGGCAAGAGAAAGCGATGGAGAGGAAACATCTATGTGTGGTTGCTTCTTGCATGCCCCCAGTTGGAGACCAGACCTGTAACCCAGGCATGTGCCCTGGCTGGGAATCGAACCAGCAGCCCTGTGATTCACAAGCCAGCACTCAATCCACTATGCTACACCAGCCAGGGTTTAAGAGGCTTTTTAATTGAGAAATGACTTTAGGTTATTCTAATGGGCCCCTGGAATATCACAAGTATTTGTTCTCCCATTTTTATAAAAGAGAAGTTTTGGAACTAATTAGGCCTACTTAATATGCCTAAAGTACATGGGAAGCTTTGTCAAGTAAAGAAATAATAAGTATGTTCTATTTATATACACATATTTTTATTACTAAAGTAGGTGTTCTAGAGGTTATATAAGTTCTGGTATGCTTTCATTTATAATTTTAGTTGTTATCCTAAAATGTTGTTGCAGGAAAGCAAATTCCTTTGTCAATTGCATTATACTCAACTCTGTAACCATGTCATTTTAAGCCTTGGCATTTATAAATAGTCATTGTTTTGCTTTAATGCATTTGCAAAAATAAGTTTGGGAGGCATTCACGGAAAGGACTCTGACTTGTTCTGGATCACATATTTCTGAGAATGGATTTTTGGATCATACTTTTGTACATGTGCTGCCTAAGCGAGCACTGAGACCATAACTTTGGATTGAGTAAAGATTGCTGGAACTCTGTGAATTGACTGAATTTATGGAGGTGCTTGAAAACATTCAGGATAAAGATAAATTAATTATGGGACATAATAAACTGCAGAGAATTACAGCTTTTATAACCTGTTGAAAAATATTGTTAAGTTTTAATCAGTTGTTTTTTAGACACAAAAAACTTTGTTTCTTAAATCAAGTTGGTAAAGTATAATTTTATAAACAATATTGAGGCATTTATACTTTTCTCCCTGCCTGATCCCTCTGGAATTTGGAAGCTCTTAGTGAGTATTATTCTTTCCATATCAATATTTTTTTTGTATAAATCCAATAAGAATTTGATTTTTTTCATAACAGGATGTATAAAGCCAGTTTCCAATTGTGATTTTATCAACTATGTCCTTGTCTGGAATGTGATAATCAAAGGAGCCTTGCCTGGACTCCGGATGTCATCAGAAAACCATAAGGAATTAAGATTGACTTTGAAGAATAAAAGCACTTTGGAGAAATGGCCTGGTACTTTGCTTGCTCACATTGTTCATGACAGTCTTTCCAGGTAAGGAGCAAAGGTTACTTTTCTAAAAGATGGCATGGTACCCTAAGACATTTTGGGGACCTCGAGAGCTTGAGAAACTCAGCCAAATCTGCAGGTATTGCAGGCAAAGCCTGATGACAACTGTGTGACTTGGCTTCCTAGCCCTGAGGGGCTAAATAAAGCTCAGTCTAGAAATTCCTTGTAACATCCCAGCAAAGTACAATCAAGAAAGCCTATATGATCAATTGCTATTCCTGTTGTGTTTATGCAAATAATCAGGCCAAATAGAAACCAGACTTAATACAGTAAATGAGTTGGCCTTGATTTGATTCTTTAATAAAAATGAAGGTGATTCGGGGGGGGGAATTATGTTTCAATAAAATCAACTATAAACAATTATGGAAAGTAGACTCTAACTCAATGAATTGTCTGTAAAATTTTATTTCTCACCTACAAACTAGACTGGATCCTGAATTTCTCCAGTTTTCTTTCGCACTAATGTCTCAATTTTCCTTTATCCTTTGATTTGGATTGATTGAGAACTGCTGATGCAGTATCAACTATAGAGAATTCACCTGAGCCCCTGATGATATCAGCAGAGACATTTAAATTACAGATAAAGAGGATATATCAGATTGTCACTGCTTAATTTCATTCCAGCAAAGGGGCCTTCATTTGGAAGTCTCATCTGACACTCTTGCAGACTCAGAAACTGGTTTATCCTCTGTGTTCTTTCTGTTTTCATAAAATGTATACCATTACCTTACTTACCTAGTTTCTCTGTCAAATGGATTCTGTGGAAACAACACCTTCCCCCAGTGGGTGGAAATGCTGGCTGCTGTAAATAACTGCTCAGACTGTTGGTTTTGCACAGATTTCCTGACTATGACCTCTGCTGGTCTACCACGGTGGATTCACCCTGTGAGCCAGACCCATTGGGACTGGCCAAAAGGCTGGAAGGCTACTGACTAATCCCTTCTTCAAACAGATGCATGAGATATTTTTCATCATGAGAGAGTGGGTTAACTGCACCACGCCATACTTCACATACACAGTTTGGGATGGCGTTCGGTGGTTATCAGCATAACAGGTGGAAGAACAACAGCCCATACACATATGTATTGAAAGCAGAAATGGAACTGCAAATGAAACTGTGCAACTCATGGGATGGATGCCAGCAACCCTGTGCTAGAATATTATGGTGCTGACTGCTACAGACTATTGGTGGTGTTCCCTCCTCCTGAGTCTCTTTGGCTTCTGTTATTACACTTTTAGTCTTAGGGTGTAGCTTTTACTGTCTCTGTGGTACATTGGATGCATAGTGCCAACATGCTGACCATACAGGCCCCTTCCCAGAAGAATTAATGTGAAGAATGTGAGGTGGAAGAGCAATGTTGGGGTGGAGTGTGGGGTCAATACATGGCTCTCATACCACTTACGGCGAGGGCCAGCCAGAAGGAATGTGTATTGTTTTGGGAATGGATTATAACTCCCTTCTTATCTCTTTTTGGGAGCAGTTTCTTGTCCCATGAATGCTTCTTGATCTTTTCTTTCTGCATGCACACATTGAGGTAATGTAGCTTAGAGTCATGCATAGGACACATGCCTCCTTTGTCTGGGACCCCCTATAATGAACCTCAGACTGGAGGAGATGCAGTCCCTTTCACACTGACCCACTGCCATCAGTGCACTCCCTTATAATGCGAGTAATAAACAGCACGTCCACACACACACACAAAGATGTGTGATTTCCAAAGCATTTGTAAATAGGGGACAGGCACCTTGTATTTCTTCAGAAGACTCACCTGGTGGCATTTTGTCACCTTCATTCTGTATCCTCAGATGTCCTGATAACTATTAGATTTCTAGCCTGAATTCTTCTGAGTAGTAGAATGTGGATGCATGAGCAGAGATGTCCAAACACATATCCAATCTTAATCTAATCTTATATCAGTGTGTTGTGGATGAAAGGGAATAACTGACTTGATGAATAAAGAAAACTTTCTACCTCATCATAACATGGGTAAAATAGCAAAGTGTCAGAGACATTTATCAGGGAGTCAGTAGATGTTCATTATATTGTTGTGTTGATGTATATCTATAATATATTGCTGTTTATTTGGTCTCCTGCTATTTCCTTGGGGTACAACCTTGACCAAGACATTCACATTTTGTTGTTTTAGTTTCCTTATTAACCAAGCAATAGGATTTACTAAGAGGTCTTTAGGATCCCTAGCAGCTCAATCATTTTATGATTCTATTGTATTATTTCTTGGTCATGCAGAGATAATAAAAGTTTATTTCTTTACCTGAGGGCAGTATGTCCAAGATTTCTTCTGACAAAACTTCAATAGCTTTAAGACAGAAACTACTACATCATCATCAGCCATTAACTAGCATTTTGGTTTGGAGGTGGGAATAAGGATGGGGTATAAGTGGATGCAGTAGATTTCATGATTGTTTCCAATTTTTCATCCTCCCTCTGTTCATGTCCTTTGCCATGTGCTTCACAGTTCATCTCACTAAAGAGTATATTTCCCTGCTTCACTGATGGTGGACTTGGTTGTGTAACTTGATCATTGGGATATTAGTGGAGCTAACATGAGAAGACTTGAATTATAATCGCACAGTTGGTCCTGCCATCTTGACTGACATCATTTCTACAAGAAGACAAGCTCTAGGTCATCCAAGGAGAATGACAGCTTCATGGAACTGAGCTAAATCCAATGTACATTTTAGAGCCAAGATCAGCTGAACACAGCCTAAATCAGCCAATTCTCAGACAAGTGAGTAAGAATAAATGATTGTTTAAATCCATTGACTTGTTGACTACTGAGCATTATTGCAGCAATAGATGGCTGGTAGAACCTAGGATCGTTTAGGATACTTTCAGCTGCAATTAACACAGAACACTACTTAAAAGAATAAAATTCCAATTGAGTCTTAAGTGTCAAGCAACTGAAGTAAATTCAGACAAATTAAAACAAAAAAAGCAATTTATTATTTAAAAATAGGTAGTTAGAATCTTGGTGACAGTTACTAGAAACAGATTTGGAGCTATCCACCACCACAGACAACACCCAAATCTATCCACATAGTCATTCTGGTAACAATATACCATATTTTGCTATGTATAATGCACACTTGTTTGCCCAAAATTTTTAGGAAAAAATAAGGTTGCACATTATACATGGGTAGTACTAATTCTGTATTTATATAAATGTTTTTAATTCTTTTATTCATGCTTTTGCATTAAAAGTGTAACTCTAGAAAGCAATAGTGATATCTGCATGCAAAATAATACCATGGAGTACAATAATTGGTTTTGTTTCTAAATATAACCAAATAAATAAATTAATTAAAACATTAAAATAAAATGTCTTTTCCCTGAAATTTTGGGCCAAAAAAAGTGGGTGTACAGTATACACAGCAAAAATATGGTACCCGTTGTCCCCATAGGCCACATATATCACAGGAGCCATCTGCACTTGATGCCAGATGCTATTACTAGAACCAGTGACACTGTTTTTGAATATGGAACACAGTGATTACTGGGCAAAACCCACAGAATGGAAATGCTCAGCTTCTGCTTTGTGACAGTTCGTGATCCATCATAATTTTCTGATTTTTGCAGGTGTTTATGCATCTGCTTGGTGGAGACTAGATTATGTCGCACCCTAACTTAAATGGACAATGGGAAGGTGAATGCCTGATATCTTTAGCTTCTCTGAAGGGAAGTGGGTTGTACATAAAGTGGGGAACTCCTAACACAGGAAAGAGGTTGCATGTTGGCCAGCCAACTGAAAGATAAATGCACTTCAAACAACAAAGGAGTTATCAGCTCACCTATTAGTGCATCTAGACAAGATATGAGGTAGGCATCCTCAGTGCTTGATCCTGAAACTTCACAGTGTCATCCACTCAGGTTCTTTTCTTTTCAACACTCTTCCAACAGGTTGGCTTAACCCTAAGGCTGCTTCCCTCAGAGTAATTTCTAAGGTCTGAATATTTATGTCATCACCCCAATCTCATATGTTAAAATCCTCACACTTTAGATGATGGCATTTGAAGGCAGGGTCTTCAGGAGGTGATTAGGTCATGAAGATGGAAGAAAAGGTATTTTACAGAGAGGAGAGATAATAGAAGAGAGGAGGACCAAACCAGTGGTTCTCAATCCAAGCTGCACATCCGAGTTATCCTGTTAAAATACCAGTTAAGATCCAGTATCCTCTGTACCCACTGGGGCAGAGGCTGATCAACCAAGGCTCTGGCAAGCCTTGACCCCATGGGTGTCCTAGCTCTGTAGGAGCTCTGTACCTGGGTCATGGAGGTGTCAGCCCCATGACAATGCTAGCATTGCCCCAGCAGTGCATGCTCTGTGGTTTCCCCCCACTTAGGAAGAGAGCTCTCTTCAACCCATTCTAAAAGGCACTAATCTCATTCATGCGGACTCTCCCTTCATGACCCAATCACCTTCCAAAGGCCTTACCCGCTAATACTATCACCCTGGGTATTAGGTTTCAACATATGAATTTCGAGGGGACACAAACATTCTGACCATATCACTATGAACCTTGTTTAAAATGAAAATCCCTGGGCTCACTTCTAGTAATTCAAGTTCTGTAGGCCTCAAATAAAGCAAAGGGATCAGCTTTTTTTTTTTTTTTTTTTTGACACAGAAGGGGCACTAGGTATTGTTCAAAAGGGATATCCATGGAACACATAAGGGCATCTATGTAGGTAACAGCAGAAGAGATGTAAAAATAAAACCATTAGATTTGGCGAGAAAGTAGTTCTGAGCTTGACCTTCCCTGACTAGCAGTGTGCAGACACCCTTGCTGGAAGACTGATCCTGGCCATGCCCCCACTTCACTGGCTGCAGGCCTCCTCTCTCCCCACCTAAGAGATGGCCTCCTGTAGAGCAGAAGAGCAGCAGACTGTGAGAGTAGGAAGAGACCAAGTAGCCCTGCGAGACTGTTTAAGTGTGTTTGGTCATGCATGGCAAAGGAGATCTTATGAGCTCCTGGGCCGGCCAGTTAACATCCCTGATCCAAATTTGTCTTCTGTAAAGCTGGGCTTCTAACAGGCATTCGGAGCAGGCCTGAGGAGGTAAATGAGATGAGAGTGAATTTTCCTCCCCTTCCTCCAGGACTTCGTCATTAGACCTTTAGTCCAAAATACTGTTAGGTTCACTGAGTTTAACCCTGAGAGAATGATACACAAGGACCAGAAAGGGTAAAACCAATTCGAGTATAACCTCATAGGAAAACAGTTTCATAAAATATGCATGCATGTATATATACACATACATATATGCACATGATATAGACATGTATACATATACACACATACACACATGCACACCTGATATATGTGAGCAAAGAGGTCTGTCCAGAAAGTATCCAGCCATATAATGTTTAAAAAATACAGACATTTATTGAAGAAGATACAAGATACAAGAAACATTGCGCATAGAACAATGATGCCTCAGTCACTTTCAAAGTGGGCTCCTTGGGACCTCACACAGTTGCCTAATCTCCCAATTGCCATCAGCTGCCCTGTTGTATGTTCCTGAATCTCATTGATGGTCTGAAATCTCTTCCCTTTCAAGGGTGCTTTTAGTTTTGGGAAAAGTCAGAAGCATCAGGGCACCAATTCTGGGCTGTAGGGGGTCTGAGTCACCTGGATGATTTGATGTTTCATCAAAAAACTCTACATGACACATGATGGATGAACGGGTACATTGTTGATGAAGCTGCCAATTATCAGTTGCCCATAGCTGCTGCCTTCTGAATCATCCAAATAATTTCTGTGGGGGAATGTTCAAGTGTTACACAAAATTTGATGCAGATTTGTTCCTCTACTCACTAGATCATTTTGAATGCAACGGCCACACAAGACACATGCTCACTCAATGGCATCCACTGCCTCCACTGACTAGTACAGTGAAGGCATCATTGTTCATGCGTGTGCATTCCAGTCCTCTGTCTTTGGCTGCCAGATTACATCGATGTCATGCAAGCTGTTCTTGTTATATTAACAACAGTTGGACTTTTTCCGGACAGACTTCAAACACACACACGAGCCAAAACACACACACGACACACATGACATGCATGGCACATGTGGCATATATGTGGGGCATGTGTATGCACACATGTATGAGTATATGTGCATATATGTGCACACACATACACACGTATCTCTTAACCAAAAAAGTAGCCAAAATATAAGTTCTGTATCACTCACAAAGCTACACGAAAATACAAAGTCTATTGTAGACAGAGTCCCACCCACAATGAGTTTAGCCTTAATTTTAGAAAACGAACTTAATTAGTTATTGTCTGAAAGGGAAAACCCCACCCCAAATGCCAGATTTGCTTTTTCTTTCTATTTTAAAACCCTTTTCTTAACTCTCACCTGAGGATATATTTATCCTCGATTTTAGAAAGAGAGGAAGGTGGGTGAAGGGCAGGGAGAGAGGAGCACCGGTCGACTGTCCCCCACACACAGCCCACCAGGGACAGAACCAGCAGCACAGGCACGGCCCTCACCAAAACCAAACCTGCAGCTTTTTGGTGTGTGGGACTGCGCTTCAGCGCACAGAGAAACCCCTCACGGCTTTCTTTCTACCTGAGTCTACAGCTAAACAGTCTCCACTCACCTGCAACACGGTATCCTCGGCTGCAGCGTATTTTCCCCACACAGAAATGTGAGACCTTCGGAATTTGTTTAGGGTCGTTACGTCTGACACCTTCTTGACTGGTGTCTCAGAAGCTTTCAGGTTGCTTCTATTGAACACAGAGGAAAACAGCTGTGCAATTTGCCAGCAAATAAAGGCACCAGCCTGCTTGCAACTCCATTATCTAATTAATGGAGGTCACTGCGGTTGACTGGAACTGAGGTTAATCGTTTTGACAAGATGTACTTGTTGGAGGCTCTGGCGAGGCTGTTCTGCTTGTGCCTTGACTGAATTGGATCGCTGTCCCCTTTCTTTTGGGTTTTGGAAGCTGATTTATTAATTCCAAGTAGGATTCTTGAATTTCCTTTCCCCACTCTGATATTTTCTATAAGGTTTCTCTAGTTCCCTTCACAGGGATCAGTTGCTTTTGCTTACCAAAATCACTCAGCAAGAAATGATGCAGAGGACTGGGGAGCTGGGAAGGGAAGTGCCTGCAATACGATGACTGCATTCTGAAAATGTTTTCATCCTCCAAAGTGAGTTTCACTAAGAAAATCTGTGAGGAGTCTTTATTTATTAGACACTAACATTTTTTTTAAAGATTTTATTTAGCCCTGGCTGGCGTAGCTCAGTGGATTGAGTGCAGGCTGCGAACCAAAGCAACGCAGTTTCAATTCCTAGTCAGGGAACATGCCTGGGTTGCAGGCCATGGCCCTCAGCAACCACACATTGATGTTTCTCTCTCTCTCTCTCTCTCTCTCTCTCTTTCTCTCTCCCTCCCTTCTCTAAAAATATAAATAAATAAAATGCTTAAAAAAATATTTTATTTTATTTATTAAGATTTATTTATTTATTTAA